CATTGGCTACGATCAAAGTTAAGCATTCTTAGGGCTACTTTTGGTACTAGAAACGAACTTCTAAAGGTCTTGGTATGTCTTGTAAGTAGGTGTAAATTATTGTCGGTCGACGGGACTCTATCAGGTCAATCAGATGGGAACATATCAAAACCACTAAAGTGATAAATAGGTTTTCAGAGCGAGTGAGTTTAGTTTTACGCCGCTTTTAGCAACATTCCGGCAATATCACAGAAAGGGACACCAGAAATCGGCTTCACACAATGTATCCAATGGTAATACCCATGTGGGGAATCGAACCCCGGTCTAAAGTGTGACGATCAAACGCTTTAACCACTGAGCTACCCCACCGCCCCTAGGTTTCAGAAAAAATTTAAGTTAGACGAGCAATTATTCGGATAATGCCCAAGTTCATGGCACTAACTTGAATAAATACCTTGAACACGAACATTTTTACGAACTACAGGCTATTGTAACTTATACATACATTTGGATATATGTATAAAGAGATAAGTGGCGATGTGTTATGTGAATGAACTGACATACAGTAGTCCGTCTCCGAAATCAATATCTCCGAAACCATCAAGTAAAACGTGAAGAAGGATGTGAGCCTGTTTTCCTAGATGAGACATTGGTCAATGCCTATCACACACCCAGCAGTCAGTGGGTACCCGTGAGGACTGTGAAGAGTGACGAACTAGTGTTATTCGACTACCGATAACTAAGACAATCATCCGTCTGTCAGCCACGTTAGTACACAATGGGTGACACAGGTGTAGTTTTGTTGAAATCTCCAACTCGTAATACTTGCTTATGAGTACAGGGGAAGAAGTAACACTATTAGGTTTCTTTTAAAAGAAGTTTAGTTTAACTTTGGACCCGATGGATATTCATGTCGGTGGCCATGTTCAGCTTGCATAAAAACAGCAGGCATCCAATGGGTTTTGGCCATGTGACACTCTTATCCAATGGGTGTTGGCCATATAACTGTGTTATCTAATATTCGTCACTGATTTAAAAAGAAACACTGGATACTTCAGTCACATGGAACATTTACCTGTCGATGATTCACTGCAGAAAAGGTAAACTTGTGTAAAGCACATGTAACTGGGTTTATTTTAAGGGGTATTGTTTTAACCCACAAGTTGTAGCATCTATCGAAACCTTAAAGAGTAAACCTACATGTGCTTAAAGTCCGTATGGCTTGTCCTAGGTGACACTTATATGATTTCATCCCACCTGTCATTTTGTTATTTAGTGGGGTCGTTGAACTGAATTACTATAAGTTCCCTCTTGGGACACTCCAACACCAGATATAGTTACCTAAATCCACATGCTGACAACGCAACTTGAAGCTGTCCTGAATTTCTTGCACGTTTTGAAAGGAGAGGTAAAGTTTGACAGCCTGCCTTGATTCAGGGCTTGGATAAATATCAAATTGCAACTGCGCTTGTTCAGGATGTCACCTCGTCACTGACACACGTTATTTTTTTTAATGTGTGCATATTTGTTTATGAATATGTATATCTGTTCAGCTGACCTTGCATCAGAAATACAGAACAATTGAATACTAGAGCAGAGTGTCTGGATGAATTAGAGACTCTTACGGAAGACAAGATTGTGCATGTGGATCAAATTATGGATGGTTGTCCGGACCATCAACAGCCCGTCTCTGAGGACCAGATCGTGCATGTGGAACAAATTATGGATGATTGTCCGGACCATCAACAGCCCGTCTCTGAAGACCAGATTGTGGAAATGGATATCAGCCACAACAGGCTTCTCTACACAGTAGACAAGCCCCTTGACCTCTGTTCTGGCCCATCTATGGAATTCAGGTAAAGAACCTTCCCTTGTGATCAGGTCCATCTGAAACCAACGTTTTACGCGGCAGTCAGCAATATTCCAGCTATATTATTCCGGCCTGTACATATCTGAACCTGTTCAATGCAAAATCATTGTGATTTATAGAATTATCGTATATTACGACGTTGTGGTATCAATGACATACATATATTGGTTAAGGTATGGGTAAGAATTGGACTTCGGCATGAACAATATTCCGGCTATATTGTTGCGGCCTGTTCATATTTGAGCCTGTTCAATGAAATAAATCCAAATTTATCAACATCCTAAGACGTTATGGTAGCAATGACAGACATATACCCGTGAAGATATTGGTAAGAATTGGTCTACAGCATTCCATGCTTGTAAGAATCGGGATCGGAAGTTCAGACTCATTGGCTTGGTTGGCTTATCATCGTATCCCAGCTGATCATTATGTCACTGACCCGTGAAGATCCGGGGTAGAAGAGGTCTTCCGCAACATATGCTTGCCACAAAGGCGACAATGCTTGTCGTAAGAGGCGACAAACGGGATCGGGTGGTCAGGCTCGCTGACTTGGTTGACACAATCATGTCATCGTTTCCCAATTCCGCAGATCGATGCTCATGCTGTTGATCACTGGATTGTCTGGTCCAGACTCGATTATTTACAGACCGCCGCTATATAGCTGGAATATTGCTGAGTGCGGCGTAAAACTAAACTCACTCACTCACTCATGATGTCACTGGATTATTTACGGACTCGATTGCAACCTTCGAATATTGATGAGTGTCGTGTTAATACACAACACACAGACAAACCAATGACACACATCCATTACAGCATCTGTAACCGTTCCGATTAGTCAGGACATACAAAGATATCTGTAAATGTGGGCAACGTTTTCTGAATTTGCATATTTCTTGAAACATTTAGAATTTTTTTTAAATCGTTCTGTTTGGAAAGTAGTTGCTATTCATATGAACTTTGTTTCACAACCCAGCAAGCGCTGCTTGGAATAACAGGAGCTTTATCAGCTGCCGTGTTGATAACCAATCGAATTGGTGCTGATGAACTACCGGAAGTGAGGTCAGAGATGCTGAGTCTATGCTTGTTCACCTCTGGCCTAGCCAGCCTGTTGCAGATATGTTTTGGATGTAGGTAGGTGTATCTGGTCTAACTAGACAGTAAGTAAAGAAGGCGTGGTGGGCTAGCCTAGTGTTTAAAGCTTTCGCTCGTCACACTTCGAATCTCGACAAAGGTGCCATGTCCGAAACCTATTTTTGGTGTCCCTTGGTACTGATGGAATATTGCTACTCACTCACTCACTCACTTTAAGCAAAATGAGAATCTTATTTAATTCAACACCAATCTATGTTTAAGTCAGATTACTAAATACAGCCTGAATAATATCTGGTAAAACTGGGTCATACAATGGACTGGTGAACTACATTTCACGTTTGGCAAGGCCTCATTAACTGTTCCAAGTGACCGGGATTTTTACAACCACAAACTCAATTGATATGTATACACTTCAAAATATGCTTCGAGTGTACGCCTATTTTATCTCTGGCAAAGATTATCCCAGGTAGGAGAGTCTATGAAACACCAGGGTAGCTGAAATTGAATGAACCAGTTAACCCTCCATTGTTTTGCATGGCGCGACGCACTACGATTAGCACACAGTTTATATACTCAGAATGACGAATGTGAGATGAACGAGCCATCCCACACCTTGAACGAACCGGTTCAGACTATATAACGAACGCAACACATACACGAACGTGATATGCTTTGTGAGGTGAGGTGAGGTGAAATTGGGTTTAACGTCGTGCTTGAGAATATTTCGCTCATATGACGACGTGCATGCGTGTGTATGTGTATGTGCGACTGCTTGTACTAGCCCAGACTGAAGCTGGTTTTATAGTGCTAGCTCACTGAGATACCATGCCGCAGTGAAGCATGAATACCCCACTCAGATACATTATACTGACTCCGAGCCGACCAGTCCTTGTTGTACCCATTAATGCCGAGCGCCAGGCAGGGACCAACAAGTACCATATTTTAACGTCTTTTGGTATGACGCAGTCGGGGATCGAACCCACGACCTTCCGCTCACCGGGCGGACGCTCTAACCACTACACCACGCTTTGTATCAAAACTATACAGATACAGTTTGATGTGTTGACCAATTTGCTGCAAAATAATATCTCACAGACCAATCTATTTAACTAATTTCAAACACTTTGCATTTGACGTGTAGACAGATAATTATACTACGAAGCGGCTAGTCTGTCATTCAAACCTTGAAACAAATATACCCAAATGCAAACAAATGCAAGTCTAGAATCCCTCAGTTCCTGAAAATGAAGAAATCACTCGGCCCTTATTATTGTAGAAAAGATAATTCAGAAACTATTTTATTCTGTAAACAAGTATACCCAATATATCCAATGCGAGTCTAGAATCCCTCAGTTCCTGAAAATGAAGAAATCCCTTGGCCCTTATTATTGTTGAAAAGATAATTTAGAAATTGTTTCATTTTGTAAAATATGGGACTAAATGTTAATAATAGTAATAGCTTTTTTGTGGCCCTCACAGGTATCACTTGTCACAGCAGTGATATCCAAGAAAGTCGTTCAACAAATTGCGCTATGGAACAATTCATTTTTACCACTGAAGGTCGTCCTTATACACTTTCCTTGGTGTATTCTCGATATCAAGCACACCATCCTCTATGTAAAGATTTGGACTATCTATTCTTGCGTATATAGTATTAACTGCTAATACAACAGGTACAGTCGTGCCCAGTGTCTCGAGGACGCATCTACCCTACATTAAACATGCTTAAATCGTGGGAAGAAAACATCATGCCCTTCAAAGAAGAAATGTGCACTTTGGTGGATGTTGCTATGAACAGCATTACAGCCCTATCCCGACTTGCCAGCTTCATGTAAAACACAGCAAACGATGAAGTTTAGTATGTTTAGTGCTAATGTGGGGTCAGAATCCATGATCATACATTTTTAGCACGCCTCTTAAGATGTGTTACCCCAATTCCATGGGAAGTGCTCTATTCCTTAGACTGAACATAAGTTTAGAAATAAACTTCTCTTTCATTATTTGAGGATGTTGTGTATCCAGAACGTATCGCCGTTATCCTTTGATAATGTTCATATTGGTGTTCTCATTGCTTCAGACTCCCACTCGTCCAGGGATCCAACAGTGCCTTCATCATCGCTATCACTGCCATTCTGAGTGACCCGAAATGGTCCGATGGTAAACGTTCATACAGTGTATTATCGTCTTGCATCAAGGGACAAACACCATTTTAATAATCAGGAGGGGGGTAGATATTATGCATAAAATTATCTTGTTGATGTCTTCAGTCTATTGTGGTTTTCTTACAGAAAGTGTAACACAAATGACCTATTTTCTTTCAAATTAGAAAAACTGCCTTAAAGTGTCTAGTTCTTCCGACAGAAACTGAAGGAAACTTCAGAAAAAAGAAATCTTAGGATGTTTTGTAACTATAACCTTATGGAGATGTTTTATTCCACAGAGTCACTGCAGGAACATGTGGAAGGAAACGGGACATCTCCTTGGAAGATACGGATGAGAGAGGTTTTAAAATGTTTTTGATACTGTAACATGCAACAAGATAAGTTCACTACGATTTACGAGAGTATGTCAATTCTTTTTAGTAAAACGCAGAACACAGATATAAACAAACAATCAACCAACAAATAGAAGTGTGTTCATATAGGTGGACTAGTGTGTATGAACTGGAAACGTCAACATATCTCTTCCAAGCACCATTGAATATTGTAAATTATACAATAAATTATCAAATTTATGAATACTTATCTTATCTCACGCTCTCCTTCTCCCTCTGTCTCTGAGTGGGAAGATTATCTGACATGTTTCCAGCTTAAATATACCACCTCACTCGAACGCCATGGAGACCTATGTCGTACTTGCTGGTCAGCCATCTCCTGAATCATGTGACCTATCGTCTCACTGGCTTGACACAGCCACGCAATCTCCTTCGAGAATTTATCCCGTCTCCTATCGAACGGTAGGATATCCGGGGTGCAGAACCCAAGTCTGGTTAGATTATCGCGAAAAGCCACGAGAAAGCTGGATCTCGGTCAAAGTAGATCTAGGGAATTCGAGATGTTTACGGGCCGGGGCTCTTATATACAATAATCTTGATCTTGATAGGGTAAGACTGGAATCCAAAGAATATCCTGGGACCCCTTGTACTAGCTGCGTGGATTGAGGTCGAATAACTCCTTTAACCAAGAACGACTGCGTGAAAATGAACTGGTTGAGTCGTGTTTGATCCCGACTTCTAAACGTATAAAGAAGAGAGAGTTAGACTTCCCCCTTTTTCGCTTCATCCTCATCGACTGACTGACTGAGTTTGGTTTTACGCCGCTTTTAGCAATATTCCAGCAACATCTCGGCGGGGGACACCAGAAAGGGGCTTCACACATTGTGCCCATGTGGGGATTCGAACCCGGGTCTTCGGCGTGACGAGCCAACGCTTTAACCATTAGGCTACCCCACCGCCACGACACCGCCCCTCATCCTCATCGAACACTGTGATGCCTTAACAAGATGGTCGACAACTCACAACCAGGTACCGGAGGACGTCAAACTGCCCCAGCCACAATACACTAAAAGGCACAAAGAGAGGCAGTTTGGCTTCTTGTATTTTCGCTTCGTAAGACAATCAAACACCACAATGGTCAATGTCTAGATGAGAAGAAGTATCGATGTTCATATCCGCACAATATGTTTCCTCAGGAATTGGGAGAGGAAGAAGAAGGAGAAATGCACAGCTGGAGACAAGAGAAGCGTATTAAAAATAAATCACTCATCATCGTATTCAGATCCAGGGCAACCTGATGTTGGCATCTGGAACTCAGTTTCTTCTTGGCATCTCGGGAATCCTTGGATTCATAATGAAGTTCATCGGGCCGCTGACAGTAGCGCCATGTGTGACAACCTTGGGGATGACGCTCTGTGGGTACATGATACCACTGTGCGAACAGCACTGGGGCATCGCCAGCATGTAAGTACAGGGTGTACAATGGGTGGCCCTTTGTTGGTACAATGTATATGGTTCTGAAGTGAGAATAACGTGAATAACACAAGCCATCATGTACCTAGTAGGCAGTACTAGGGGTAGCCCTCTCGGTAACATGAAGTTAGAAACGGATTGGGGATTGGGGATTGGGGATTCGAATTCCGAATCTGTTTTTTTTTCACATTCGGTATTCGAATCCCGGATCTGCAAAAAAATATTTAGATCCGTGATTCAAATCCCGAAACCCGAATGTTTTAAAAAAACACTCAATTTGAGGTTCAAATATCGAAAACTGTAGTTTGGTTGTTTATGTTTTAAAGTTACCCAGCTATACAACGAGCACCTAGTACATTAGAAGGCGGATGAAATATAAGAATTCAAATACCGAATGCCGAGTGTCGAATGTGTCGAATTCGAATCCCCAATCCCTTTCTAACTTCATGCTGCTAGCCCTCTGTGGATACATGATTCCAGTATGTGAGCAACATGATCAAATTTGTATAAGTGTGGTGGTGTCTCACTGTGGGTGCATGGTTCCATTGTGCGGACATCTCCGGGACATCTCCGGGGAGCAGCCAGCTTGTCAGAAGTGTGCCAGTGCTGGAGGTGTCCCCCAGCTGGTACACATACCACAGTGTGAGCTGCTGAGCTGAAATTGGGTTTAACGTCGTGCTTGAGAATATTTCGCTCACACGTGCATGCGTGTGTTGTGTATGTGCGGCTACTTGTACTAGCCCAGACTGAAGCTGGTTTTATAGTGCTAGCCCACTGAGATACCATGCCGCAGTGAAGCATGAATACCCCACTCAGACACATTATACTGACTCCGAGCCGACCAGTCCTTGTTGTACCCATTAATGCCGAGCGCCAGGCAGGGACCAACAAGTACCATATTTTAACGTCTTGGTATGACACGGTCGGGAATCGAACCCGCGACCTTCCGCTCTCCGGGCGGACGCTCTAACCACTACACTACGGAGGCGGTCTCACAGTGTGAACACCAGCGAGCTTCCAGTAAGACTTTTGCTATATTGTATTTTACAGGCAAGCTTGATGGTAGCTCTGTATACTACGTGTGACATGACGTTGGGTCATGTAGATGGTACCGCTGTTTGAACGACGGGAAATGATTCTAGAACTGGGTGTTTCACACAAACCCATCATTTGAGGCCATTAGACCGTTTGTGTCCTTTTATTTGTTAATAAATGATACATCTATATCTATCCATGATGTCAATAATCAGACCTAAAGGCTTGTTTCCAACAAAAGTACAACTCTGCTACAAGATGATTGTAAACGACTAAAATCAAATCACTTATCCACAATTGCTGTACTGTGTTATGTACATATATCAGTTTGCATTTTATCATTGCACGGTGTTTTTATCCTTCAACAGGTCAATACTTCTCATCCTACTGTTTTCGCTGTTTCTCGTCAAAGTGAAACTTCCGTTTCCAGCGTGTAATGGAGAGAAGAAGTGCCACGTTATTCGGTACCCTTTGTTTCAGCTCAATGCCGTAAGTGTTTATCAAACAGTATATAGACACTAATTACATTACTACAGCTCTACTGCTAGTAGTGTAACATCAGTGACTTTCATTCACGTCAGATAACTGGGCGGTGGGGTAGTCTAGTGGTTTAAGGGTAGGCTCGTCACGCCGAAGACCCGGGTTCGAATCCCCGCATGGGTACAATGAGTGAAGCCCATTTCTGGTGTCCCCGCTGTGATATTGCTGGAATATTGCTAAAAGCGGCGTAAAACCAAACTCAGTCAGTCAGTCAAATAAGTAGCAGCAATTACGTTCAGGCAAATATGGAACTTATAACTTCCCAACTGATTCTGATTCACTGTAACCTTAGCATAGGATTATTCAAGTTAATATGTTCTTACCCACAGTATAGCTTACTCTTACAATCACTGTAAACCACGCCTTGAAATTGATATCCCTTTGCAAAATGAATGACAGAAGAATTGCTTTCTCGTAATATTTATTGACTGTCATGGAAATGAAAGACTTAATATTTCCAAAAGGCTTTACAAATATTTCATTAACAGATGCTTTTAGCAATGGCTGCATCATTCCTCGTATGTCACGTGCTGACTGTGACAGACACGTTACCTAGCAACTCCACCATGTATGGTCACATGGCTAGAACAGATGTCAGACTGAGTGCCCTCCACGACGCAGGATGGTTTTACATTCCTTTACCATGTAGGTAGAACTGCTATGACAAGTTAATGTATCGACTGCCGTTGTACAAAACAACCTTAGCGCTATAGTTGTCTAAAGTTTAACTTAAAGGTCACATGCAGCGTAAAACACAACTTTGCTGATTCTGATACCTCTCGGTATGGCCTTATAGTAACAAACGATCAAAAAGGCAAATTCAACTTATCAAGTTAAAAAAATAACGCGATGAAAAAAACCCCGCGAAATCGGAGTTCAAACGATTCACTAAATTCACCCCGGCTGGGGTGAAACGTGGTTTCAACAGCTGCGCTGCGCTGCACTGCGCTCATGGTGCATGCGCAGTGAATAGGTTCGCGCAGCTTGGAAGCGGGATGTCCGGATTATAAGGTCGTGAGCAGGAGTAGTCTAATCTTGGTTAATAGTAAATAAATAGTAAATAATGTACTCGTTATATAAAAGAACCTTGTTAAGGATCTAGATCTACTCAGCTATGTGCCAACCAGTGAGGCGTTCGACATTTCAAGACGGAAAACCTTCGCTGGCGGTGAGTACTCGGAGTAGGCTTTGATGTGAGCTATTTTTCTAATGTTTTGTTGATATTTCACAGTCGCGTGTTTTTCATATGTTATGACAGGAGATTACCGATTTCACTGTTTATATAATTTCATTTGACTATTTCACCATACGGTCTTCTTACCGAGTCACTTTCTCAGTTCGATACTTAACATCAACGTCATTATTTAGCATTGTCAGAATTTCTAACTGTGATATAGATATGCCTCTGTCACAGACAAAACTCAATGTCTGTTTTATTGATACCTATGTGTCTGCCTGCCTGTCTGCTAAAACAATATGCAATACACAACTTCGATCACTGACCACATGCAATTTGAACTTAACACCTATCAGGCTATACACCATAAACAAAACGCATTGATTTATGGCTCGTGCACCCGAGTTCTGTGTCTGTCACATTATGTAATTACACAGACAGGCAGGTGTGATACTTGTACATATGACATGTCTGTCTGATTGCAAAATGTTATACACAAAAATGAGCATGTGTTTACAAAACCCAACATATCTATACACACACGTTACACTTAACGTCTTCGTTCCACTTAAGTGCACGCCCACCCGCTCTGACTGGGTTCGGTATCCCGGGTGCTTCGTTTCGAGGGAAGTAAACCCAAGTACAAAATATTGCACTTTTGATTTACGATTGAACGCTTATAATTTTGTTTATTTGTTTTTTCAAAATCAGCAATGTATATTATATGTCATGAATAAGTGATAATTGTGTTTTAATTGTGTTTGTTTTTTGGTTGCATGTGACTTTTAATGTATGGGGTTACGATCACCTTAGAGCAAAGCTCGCTTTGTACACCTGTACCTTGAAAACTAAGAACAAAATTATGATTATTTGTTCAGTTTAAAAATTCGAAAGTTGTATCAAAGTGATTCCTACACGGGTACTTGAGAATATCATCTAAGGAATAATTACTTTTGGCTTTAAGAGTTTAACATATTTTATATATAATATTTGGGATTACACTTTCTCAGTAAAGTACAGATTCTAGTATTTTTGCTGGGTTGAGTCCCATCCGGGATTTGAACCAACACCCTCGGAGTCAGGCACCTAATCGCCAGCACACAAAGTCAGACGCCCAACCCGCACAGCCACCACTAAGAAAGGGTAATCCCAAATATAACATATGTTTCATTTGACCACTTTCTAAATGACATTGTGCATTCATAGCTTTAAGAGTTTGCTGAAATATGGATCATTTGTATGATGTGTGTTGCATTTGCAGTTAAATATGGACCACCAACTATCAGTGGATCGGGTTATGTGTCCATGCTAACTATCACCATGACAGTTGTGATTCAACTTCCTGGCGTCTATCAAGCAGTTGCTCTTGGAACAGAAGTTCCTCCCCCACCCTCTCACGCCATCAACAGAGGTTTGGCAGTGGACGGGTTGTCTGGTGCTGTGGGCGGTATGCTAGGGGGAGTGTGTGCTAGTGTTGTGTACGTCCAAAGCCTTGGAGTTATCGCCGTCACAAAGGTAAGAGACAGGTAGCAGTGATCAGTGACAAGGATGAATAAACATGATATCAGATCCGCCACAAAGGCAAGACTCTGTGAAAACTGTGGTCAGTCACAAGACTGTGTATTTACAATCTCGAATCCCCTCTAAAAAGTAAAACTCATGGGTCTGTGGTCAAGGGTTCGGTATTCGAGATTCCGATTCGCCACAAAGACAAAACTCCTCTAAGGTAGCGAGGTTTGGTCTTCACAATCTCGAAGACGACTCAAAGGTAAAACTGTGTCAAAAGCCAGGGCTAGGTATTCGTGGTTTATATTTCGTCAAAAAGATAAAACTCCCGGAATTGTGGTCAATAATGAGGTTGAGTATTCGCAATCTGGAAGCCTTGGATCTGTCATCAGTCAGAAGGTTGGGTATTAAGTGTATGTAAGCCATCACAAGAATAAATGATGACAATCGGGTTTACATTAGAAAGTACAAAACGTACATGAACGTAGTGAAAAGGGCAAATCTGAAGTCAACACCAAGGGTAGACATTCATAATGCAGAAGCTAAAACAGGCACAGGTCTTCGTGGTCAGAGAGTCGCTGCAAGGCGCGATCTTCATAATGGTTGACCCGTCACAAATATTGATATTCATAATCATCTGTTCTGTCATAAACTCGAGAGTAGGGCAATGAACGTTCACGCCAAAAATTAAACATGTGGGTGAAAGGTTCCAACTACAATAATATCTCCCAGTCTAACTGAAACATGAATATTCTCATTTTACTTGGGGTTTTGTATAAAAGATAAATATGTATTTACCCTTACGGAATATTGGAGAAGGTCCATGACAAGAAGTGACCATTCCAAAACCAGTTCTGAGGAGATGTTTTTGAAACAAACGTAGCCGTCGTTAAAGTTTAAACTTCAACATACGTTTTATTATAATACGTTTCTTCAAACACTTGCATCGAAATGTTTTCCCGACATTTAAAGTTTCTTTATAAATTATTATTATTACACCGAGAAATTGATTTTAAATTGATGCTGCACATTGGGCTTTTGTTGAGTGGTTAGTCCTTACAGTATAGTATATCTCCTGTAGGTGGCCAGCCGAGCTGTGTTCGTGACGGCTGCCTTCCTCGCCATCCTGATGGGCGTTATTGGCAAGTTCGGAGCGGTCTTTTCTCTTATTCCCGACCCTGTGATTGGTGGATTTGGTTTGGTGACAATGAGCATGGTAATTGCTGTGGGCGTGTCCATGTTCCGATTGGTGAATCTCTCATCCTCCCGGAATCTGATGATCATAGGCTTCTCCTTGGCTCTGGGCCTGCTGCTGCCGGACTGGGTGACCAAGAACGACAACTCCATCAATACAGGTACACGCCAGAAAACTTCCAGTTGAGTGAGTGAGTTTAGTTTTACTCCGCACTCCGCAATATTCTAGCTATATTGTGGCGGTCTGTAAATAATAGAGTCTGGACCAGACAATCCAGTGATCAACAACATGAGCATCGATCTGCGCAATTGGGAACCGATGACATGTGTCAACCAAGCCAGCGAGCCTGATCACCCGATCCCGTTAGTCGCCTCTTACGACAAGCATGGGTTACTGGAGATCAATATTCTAACCCGGACCTTCACGGGTATCGAAGCAAAGCGACTCGATCTACATGATAAATGGATTTAAAGAACATTACCAAGTGATCTTAAGTCACTTTTATTTATATTTTTCGGAAATAAATTCGCCATCCTGCTCTCTTGCTGGCCGAGGTTAAGGAGATTAGAAACACATAAAAATACGTTCTATACTGGTTTGTTTCACTAAAGTTGTAAAGGTCAAATACTCACATCACGTTGGTCTTCTATCCAGCTGCAAATGACACACTCTCGTAGTACGAAAACTTGTTCAAAGCGGAAAACCTGACTCACTCATCCACACATTTGTCACTATGATGAAAGTCTACACTTTCCGCTCCAGGAAGTAAGGAATTTGACCAAGTCATCGTCATTCTGCTGTCCACCCCTATGTTTGTGTCCAGTTTTGTTGGCTGCGCCCTTGATAATCTAGCTCCAGGTAAGACCCTGTTTTACTATCTTGCGGTTGTTTCTATTTTATTTTGAAAGGAAACTTGCAGGCCCGGTAGCTTGTGTCATCGTAACCTGACGGCGTGGGTTCTTGCTCATAACATCAATCGCTGGATATAGCTGGAATAATTCTGAGAGTGGGGAAATCGGAGTTAGCGGAGGAAAAGCCATTTACCTTTATTTCTGACAAAATGCCTTTGTACCACAACCTTAAGATATATGAGAATGCTGGTCCAATGCTGAATAATGTGAAAGTGTAATGAGAAGTCATTATACAAACTTTCATAAATGTTTTTAAAAAAATATTTTTTGTGACTTAGTTTTTTGTGACAAAGAACCCCCCCAAAAAACAAAAAACAAAACAACAACAACAAACAAAACGAAACCCCCGACCCCCCCAAAACAACACCCCAACAAAACAACAACAACAAAGAAAACAAACAAACAAACAAAGAACAACAAAGCACCCCAACAGTTCGTTGTAACCGTCAGTTCGTTATGAACGCAGTTTACTGTAAGTATTAATACATGTGTTCCGCCCATTGTATCAAACCACACTAGCTTCAGGACCATCAGAGCTGCAGGGCATATGCTGAAATATGTAAAAAATACCGCAATGATCTTCTCAAAAGGACATTGTCAACTATTTTCGGTTCTTTATAAACATACATCGTTATACGCATGTCGATTGAAATATACACAGCAAATGTCCGGGGACAAAAATACAGTTCGATATTAGCGAGTTCGTCACATACGTAGTTACTCTACCTTATTGTATTTCAGGTACACCAGAAGAACGAGGCCTCTCAAGAAAGCAAGACAAGTCATCAAGTCAAGATGTATGTACAGATGACCCCTACAAGCTGCCATACATTTCATCGCTCCTCAGCAGAGTCCGCTGTTGTGTTTTCCTCCCGATATCGCCCGCATATGACCCTGACATCTCGTGTAGACAATGTCAGAGGAGGAAACGGAATCCCTCCCAGTTTGCAGCTGACAACCCCGTGGTGTTGACTGGCTTGGATACGGGTACCGAGGACCGAGTGTTATAGGAGGAACAGAGTACACGACTTACGAGTCTATAACGAACTCAAATAAAGGGACCACTAATTTTTGTTCGTTATATTAATTTTCAATGTGATATTCTGCAAGTGGCTTGAAAAAATAACAAAAGTACGTTATATCTATCAGTTCGTCATAACCGTATTCGTTATAAAAATGGTTTTCTGTTGGAACATCAGTTGGATATATTATACTATAAACACAATGCACGACGGTTGTGGACATTATGATTCCGTGGTACTTACATTTCCGTGGTATTTTCTAATGACATAATTTCTCACGAGCCACTAGCCAAATCGCGCTACTTATCGATTGTTTACGTTCATCAGTTGATAGGCACAGGTCTGAATAAAAATTTCAGATTTTCATCGATTTGCCTACATACAGTCATCTACTATTAAAAGAACTAATGCAATTTTATATCTAGCACGTAATGCATTTTTTGCGCGATCTTTGCAAACATTTTCTATAAACTTACTCAGCTTCAAAGTTTTCCAAACATCGCTCGTCTGCTAGCTGATGTCATCAATAAAAATAATCACGTGACCTAACTATAGAAGCCCGATAGGGTCATCTCTTTAGTTGTTTTTTCACTTTCATTTCACGTATCCCGTATCAACTCTACATATTTTATGAACTGGAAATGTATGCTGAAGAAATGTGACTATTGTGTAATTTCTACAAAATCGTTTACTGTATTACAATTTATCAACTTCGATATTACTGTAAACCTACATTGACACTCCCGGATTGGCTGTTGACAACGTGTGAGATTGTGACATGTGCTGTGCGCCCATAATTTGATCTGAAGGAAATACCACGGAAACATATGACGTCACCAGAGTTTGTGCACAATGGCCACCTGTCGTCCGATACGGACAACAATGAACTTCAGAATGACAAAAGTGTTTTATTGACATTAAATGATACAAAGGTATGTCGTCTAACTCTATATTATGTTCATATGACTTGGCAATATGAGCGATCATATTCATAGTCGTAAATTTCTTAATACCACGGAAACCCATGACGCGAGGGTATATGTGTAACACACATGATGGCTATTCTTCATAAGAATTGAATGATGTGGTTGTACAATATAATTATGTTAGCACAATGCACGTTGGTTGGACAGCAGTATGTTGAGGTAAGCGTTTTACCTTGTGTAAACAGATATTATATCTTTGAATGATATGCTGAAGCAATATGGAAACTGTTTGTAAACAGCCTGGTCTGTGTAATCAGCATTTGCGATGTGGAACCGGAGTGCAGTGAGAATCGGTTTGTCTGGACCTGTACTGTCGCAGTACCCGTCTGGCGTGGATCATTGTACATGCTTTCATTCACTGACATGGTCCACATTCTATTATTGTTAAAAATATGGTACTTGTTGTTCCCTGCCTGGCGCTCGGCATTAATGGGTACAACAAGGACTGGTCGGCTCGGAGTCAGTATAATGTGTCTGAGTGGGGTATTCATGCTTTATTGCAGCATGGTATCTCAGTAAACAAGCATTATAAACCCAGCTTAAGTCTGGGCTAGTACAAGCAGTCACACATACACACGCATGCACGTCGTCATATGAGCGAAATATACTTAAGTACTACGTTAAACCCTATTTCACCTCACCTCCATTATTGTTCCCTGTCTGGCGCTCGGCATTAATGGGTACAACAAGGACTGGTCGGCTCGGAGTCAGTATACTGTGTCTGAGTGGGGTATTCATGCTTCACTGCGGCATGATATCTCAGTGAGCTAGCACTATAAAACCAGCTTAAGTCTGGGCTAGTACAAGCAGCCGCACATACACATACACACGCATGCACGTCGTCATATGAGCGAAATATTCTCAAGCACGACGTTAAACCCAATTTCACCTCACCTCACCTCCATTATTGTCGCCATGGGGTAACGGATACAAGGTACCCTGGCTGTGTGTGTGCATGTCTCTATCTAATACTGATCACGGTTGTACACCACATGTCACCTCGCCATGGGGTAACGGATACAAGGTACCCTGGCTGCCTTTGTGTATGTCTCTATCTAATACTGATCCCGATTGTCACATGGGGTACATGATCACCTCGCCATGTCTCTATCTAATATGGGGTAACGGATACAAGGTACCCTGGCTGCCTTTGTGTATGTCTCTATCTAATACTGATCCCGATTGTACATGACATGTCACCTCGCCATGGGGTAACGGATACAAGGTACCCTGGCTGCCTTTGTGTATGTCTCTATCTAATACTGATCCCGATTGTACATCACATGTCACCTCGCCATGGGGTAACGGATACAAGGTACCCTGGCTGCCTGTGTGCATGTCTCTATCTAATACTGATCACGGTTGTACACCACATGTCACCTCGCCATGGGGTAACAGATACAAGGTACCCTGGCTGCCTTTGTGTATGTCTCTATCTAATACTGATCCCGATTGTACATGACATGTCACCTCGCCATGGGGTAACGGATACAAGGTACCCTGGCTGCCGGTGTGCATGTCTCTACATAATACTGATGCCGATTTACATCACATGTCACCTCGCCATGGGATAACGGATACAAGGTACCCTGGCTGCCTGTGTGCATGTCTCTACATAATACTGATGCCGATCGTACATCACATGGTACCTCGCCATGGGGTAACGGATACAAGGTACCCTGGCTGCGTGTGTGCATGTCTCTACATAATACTGATCCCGATTGTATACCACATGGTACCTCGCCAGGACGTAACGGATACAAGGTACCCTGGCTAAGTGTATGCATGTCTCTATCTAATACTGATCCCGATTGTACATCACATGTCACCTCGCCATTGGGTAACGGATACAAGGTACCCTGAGTTTTACAGTGAATCTAGTGGCTATTGTTTTTCAATTTTAGGAGGGAGATTGTGAGGGCAGATCCTTATTAAGTTAGATATAGGAGACGCTTCTTAGATTCACCTCAGAAGTTGCAGCGGAGGGCAGAAATGCGAGCAACTGCGGCTCCACATTATCAATACATTTACATACTTTCTATATGTATATAATTTATTTTATAATGTATATATATAGCGCCGAGTTCCTGATTGGCTGATCACAGGTGTTTTGTTTTTCCCTCGATCATTGGATGTCAATCTCAACGGCACATCGTATTTTCAATCTCAAATCCCTGGGGACCATACAATTCGTGCAGTCACTAGGCGCACCAACTTTATGTGACTTTCCCATCCTTCTGAGGAACCCATTCACAGCTGGGTGGACTGGGACACACAGTCACAGTACTTTGTCCAAGTTTACTGCACGTTGATGTACCCGCAACTAGGTGTTTGCACGTATTCATGTGGCCACCATCTGTTCATTTACCAAGGGATTCGTGGGTTCTTTTAAGTGCACAGGGTTGTGTACTGTACACTAGGGGTTCTGACAACACTGAAACAGTCTGCACACAAAGTTGACTCCAAGGTTTTTACGCCCGGTCACAGGTGGGCTTGATACCGACACCTCAAGCTCATAATCTGGTGCATATCCAGATTGAAACAATATGAATGTTACTTTGAGTAGATTCTTACTATAGTGAGCTGGGTGTGTCACAGCCGTGTATACAAAACCACATTCCCTGTACATGCGAAACGGAAATATCAAAATGGAATAATGCAGAAACCATGGTAATTAACTTTAGAAATGACATTTTTTCTATATCTGTAAGTAAACAACCCATTGCCTCCACAACAAACACATAACCAACATAAAATATATCCGCTATTCATAGAGTCTCATACACCAGCCAAAAGAGGATGCCATAATTCTAGCCTAGTTTGGCAAGGGTTGAAACTGGACTTTTATATCCAGTTATCTCCCTTACCCTGGGAGGATTCGAATTGCTTAGACGACTGATCTGCCCGTGCCAGTAAATCCTCAGAAGGGTTATCGCCGGATCATGTAGCACAGATACAATCAACCGATGTGATAAACTTTGCGATAACTGCGATATATTGTGATGACTGATTGATTTTCATCGCACGTAGATGACGTCATAATAGTTTCATGTTTCATGTATGCTGCATTGCTTTGCTCTCTCAACTAGGCTAGTCACAAGTGTGTCGGGTCTTTGGTCTGACGAGCGAACGCTTTCACCACTAGTCTACCCCACTGCCCCTGAAAATGCTAATTGATACCATTCTCCAACCTGGAACAAGCTGTGAAGAACAACTCTGGCGTTCCCCGACGTAAAGTTGCTTGAGTATTGGAAAAAAATGGCTTAAAACCATTTCCTATAGGCGATCAGATCACTTCGCCACATTAGTGAGTGGGTTTAGTTTTGCACCGATTTTAGCAATATTCCAGCAATATTACGGCGGGGAATGGGCTTCACACATTGTACCCAAGTGGGGAATCGAACCCGTGTGACGAGTAAACGCTTTTTACCACTAGGCTACCCCACCGCCCCTCGCCACACTAATATTACAGAAGCACAACAGCAGTCACCATATAATTGATTGACATGAACCTCGATAAAGACATTTTTGATATGGCGGCAAGCAGTTCAACCCCACCACACCCTCAACTCTCCCTACTCAGCCCACGCCCATTTTGTTATCTTTTAACTACATGCAATGGTTTGTGGGGAAATCCATTCTTGATTTTATCTTCATAGTCTACTGCACGGCGACTATGAGGTCCATCTTTGAGTATTATTCACGACAAATGGACTCACATAGCTTTGTAGTCAGGAAACACATTCAATCTACAACACAGGTCTTCGACACAAAGTAGAACAATAGTACTGGGCGGAAAGTGACATCACAAGGAAATACTGTTGGGATTTTAAACAGAGCTGTTGTCACAAAGTTAGCGACTGGCCTGCTTGTCTACACCGTCTCTGAAGCTGCAAGGTTGGTATTGTATATTTTCATGGTACAGTGTTCATTAACACATGTTCGTCTTGCTGTTGGTTGATGATTAGTGAACTCCCAGCCTCTTGCATGTTGTACACATTAACGATTTAAACAGAGATGAGTGCATCTTGGCAGTGTTACTCGTAGATTGACGTACATGCAATACCTTTTGTGCAAGATCTAGAGATAGTAGAGAGTGAGTTTGATTTTCCGCCGCTTTTAGCAATATTCCAGCAACATCACGGCGGTCACTGAACAGTCTTGTCCAGGCTTGAATGTATACATGCCGCCATTATACAGATAAAATGTTGCAAGGGGTTGGCGTTAGAAAGCAAACATACAAACCTTCAGATGAATGAGGTCAATAAACGGTTGAAGGGTACTTTAGTGAAGACGTCATTGGTCACACGGTCTTCGTGGAGGGAAACGTACTAAAACGTTCTCCGTGTGGAAAGTATGATCGAGACTAGATACCATGCTCCGACACAAGGCATGTCATCTACCTGTACAGACGGCGGGGGACACCAGAAATGGGCTTCACACATTTAACCCATGTGGGGAATTGAACCCGGGAATTGAACCCCATGTAAATTAGTCACTAACCTCTAAATACTTGGAATAACAAGATTTTTTAAAACCATTTCAATCATTTTGATAAAACTAAAGTGTATGTGTGAAAGGTTCGAACAGAGGAGCAAATTTTATATAAAATATTAAAAGTAATGAATTGTTTGGGCATTTGGGGGAATTTTTTTAAATTTATAGGAAATATTCAGAAATTTGGAATTTTTATACTAGAGCTTATCCAAAATGTCTAATACACTTTGCTCCCTTGGGGATATCAAGCAGGAAGCAGATGTAACGTAATACGAACCCCAGCGATGTGGCTTAGCTTCAGGTGCCAGTGGCTTATCGGCTTAAGGTCCGTGGTTTCAGCTGAAGTTAGGTTGTAATGTTAGAGTGTGTTTGACAAATTGTAACAAATTACAACTTGGAATCAGTGACTCATTTATGTGTCAATTGTAAGTCATTTATAACGCAGTGTGTGCAGGCTAGTCCGCACCCTACACCCCCCCCCCCCCTTTCCCTCCCATCATCTAACCCACTATCTCGCTGACCCAATATTTTCCAATATGAGACCTCGCATGTAATGAAACTGACAGGACTCCAAAAGCTTTTCTAACAGTCAAACCAACTTACGTTGGATTCGGAAACATGGCAACAAAACGTAGTCACACATCTCAAGTCTGTGGTGGGTGGTGGGGTGGCCTAGTGGTTGAAGCGTTCGCTCGTCACGCCGAAGACCCGGGTTCGATTCCCCAAATGGGTACAATGTGTGAAGCCCATTTCTGATGTCCCCCGCCGTGATATTGCTGGTACATTGCTTAAAGCGGAGTAAAACTAAACTCACTCACTCACTCACTCACTAAAGTCTGTGATTAACGTTTAGGGGCACAGATAAAGATGGCATCGGGTGCGAATGCTACCTACTCAAAGGACAATTTTCAGCACCAGGTCCCAACCCGGAAATAGATGGGGGTATAATGGAGCCAATGTATATACAGTCAAACACTGTTGTATCGAATTTACAATTGTCTCGAGCAAAAAGCTCTATCCCAGTATTTTCAACTAGTCATCATTTTGCGGTTGTGTCGAACCTCGGAAAACTCGAAGTATTTACGTACGCCCCTTCAGCTTCGACACAACGGTATTTGACTGTATATTTGCACATTTGCATGTGCGTAAAAGCGTTGCTTCCGGTTCTGCAAGTACTCGCAAACTCTTATTTTAGTATTTCAAGCGTTGTGTTCACAAATATACTCTCGTTTCAGATGGGTTCCCTTGCATGCATAGGTGCATTCGTGTACATACACATGGCGTGTATGCTCGTCACTGATGGAATGAAGACCTCTCATGCTGTATGTCCCCCGTGCACGTGTGGCAGAGACATACGTTACGAAGGGGTAATGGTCAATTGTACTGGACTACGCCTGAAGAGCATTCCTGTTCAGTTGCCAGTCAATGCCACGACACTACTTCTCAGCAACAACTCGCTGATGAACCTGACAGATCATGTGTTTCAACACTTTCCTCATCTTCGACTTCTCGACCTCTCTAATAATTCGATCTTTGTTATTCATGAAAATGCCTTTCATGGAATATCCCAGCTGAAGACGCTAGACCTAGCGTTCAATCATTTGGTACTGGACTCTAAAACCTACCACCCTAACATGTTCAGGGATCTCACGGAATTAGAAGAGTTAAGAATCGTAGATAACGATAACGACACATCTCGTCCTCTCGCCACATATCCAGACCAGAGTCTGAAACTCTTGACATCCTTGAAAGTTCTGCATCTTGATGGACTTCCGGCTGATTTTGGACCTGGATTTGGTCGAATGAAGGATCTGACGAATCTTACATTATCGGGAAAAAGGGGATACTGTCATTTGCCGGTGTTGCAAAACTCCACATTTACCAATGTACCAACAGTTCAAAACCTCCGGATCAGCAGCTGCAACATCTATGACTCAGACCTTCTCACGTTTCAACCAATGAAGCATATCAAGTCCATAGACATGTCCGACAACAGACATTTTGGCTTCACAAATTTCACCAGCTCCACCTACGGATTACAAAATTCTTCTTTGGAAAAACTTAACATTAACCGTATAAATCTTGAATACGATGTATGCATACACTTGGAAACCAAACACATTCAACACCTTACGAACACGCCTCTGAAGGAACTACATTTGGACGGAAATGGAATCATTGGGGTTGAAAATGAAGCCATTACCATCATGCCGAGACATCTTGAGATACTATCAGCCCAGGATAACAAATTTCAGTTTGGACGTTACATTTTCCATGGGTTTGCACTTACGGCTTTGAAGTTTCTTGATGTTTCTGGAATTAACAAAATGCCACCAATGCCATTTTTTAAGCGAAGTGCAGACACACGCCCATTCCCTCTCTCGTCATATATACCCGTTCCTCCTAACCTTGAAGTTCTTATTGCATCAGAGTGTTATTTTACTGGTAAGATCACTCCCGGGGGCCTTATGACGAATAACATCAAACGAATAATTGTCCATGACAACTTCTTGACTGCCTTGAACGGGCCTATTGCAGGCCTTAACAAAGTTGAGCAGTATGACTTATCAAACAACATCCTTGAAGAAATAGGAAAGGAATACTTTTCTGAAAACAATTCAGTTTCCAATCTGAGCCTTGCAAACAACATCCTTGGGGGAGCTTTAGCTAAAGACACAAAAGGATATATGTTTCACAACCTAACCAAAGCCCGTCTCATTGACCTATCATTGAACAGAATTGCATCCCTCCCGAGACACATATTCACAGGACTGAAGAGCGTGGAGGTGATCATCCTGAAAGATAACTATTTGCAGTCGTTTGAAGTCAACCTACCCACCACTTTGAAAAGACTTGTCCTATCAGGAAACAAAATAGAAACGTTATCTCGAGATGTTTTAAGTCAATTTGACGACTTACCCAAGTTACAGTTATACCTACGGTACAATCCAATATCATGCACATGTCATGGGTTAGCCTTTTGAAATGGTTGAGTAAAAACATGCATCGTGTCCATGGCCTAGAAGACATGCATTGTGAACTTGAACCTGGCCATGTGACTTCTCTGACGAATTTCGAGGTTATATTTCGAACTCTCAACAAAAGGTGTAACCTTGGAAACGTGATTGCTTTGGCAACCTCCTTATCGCTGTTCATATTTGTGGTTGGAGTCATTGGCTTGACCACTGGTTACCGCCACAGATGGAAGCTAAGATACATATACTATGTGAGCAGGAGCAAGTATCGAGTCCAGCACCATGAAGACCATGATGGCAGGGAATTCCAATATGATGTTTTTGTTTCGTATGCGTCCTCAAATAGACGCTTTGTCATTGACTCATTGCTCCCAGAGCTTGAAACGAATCGGGAACTGCGAGTCTGGATCCACGACAGAGACTCTATTCCAGGTCATGCAATAGCTGACACCATTGTTGACGTTGTCAGAAAAAGCCGGAAGACGCTGATTCTTTTATCGCCTTCTTTCCTTGTGAGCCACTGGGGAGAGTTTGTCTTCAATATGGCGCGCATAGAAGGAAATGATCGCCGTCATAGCGCACTGCTTGTTGTTATGTATAAATATGCGCCAATCAGTGATTTATGGAAGGATATGTCAGTGATGGTTCGAACCAACAATTATCTTGAGTATACAGAGGACCCGCATGGAACAGTGGTATTTTGGGAGGATGTATTTGAAGCAATCAAATCTTGACTGGTTATTGTCAAATCGCTTCAAGACGTTGTTTATCATTTTAGATTGTGTTGCTTTCAAATGATACAGCATATATTTCTGTTGATATGTTCTTTTTAGCATGTTCTAATATATATCGCAGTTTTGCTTGTTTTTTCGCCATTTAGTGATTTATATAATCTATTTTTCATGGTAAAATAATAGGCACATAAACAATAGCAATTAATGGCTTTTGATACTGTTATGTGCTTCGTATTTTAAATGAATAAAACTTGTGCAGGACCATCTTTATGTTTCTAAACCTTTTGATCCATCATTGTAAAGCGTATATAATAATACATCTGTAACTTGATGGTCTAACTGAATTAAGTTGAATGAGAATGTCCCTTGTGTTCTTATTACCACACATGATTCTGTGATACAGTTAATGAAAGCGTCTAGAGTACAATATAACAACTGTTGGCACATGGTCTTTTCTGCATATCTTTATAAGGGAGTTAGATAATGACTTGGTTAAATGTCCATTGTCACACATTTTCGACAATATTTTGACCCATATTATATATATTGGGGCATATGCTCTCAGTTCAGCTTCCTATTGACGCAATTAAAAAATATTATCCTTTACGACTTGCATGAAATCGATAATTGAAACTTTCAAACAGAGAACACTTGCCATATATGGAATGTAAAGAATTGCTCCGTACATCGAAACCTGTCGCACGCGGTGTTGTCGGTGTTTGCCGAACTGGTTTCAATCACAAGTTGTGCGTAGGATATTCGTACAGAGCACTCCAAGGGACTCTATGGGGTTCGCTTGAAATAATGTTCGGCCGACAGAGGGAGCGAGAGTCGATTTAATGCAACGTTGCATTACTTCATTCGAACTTTTAAATTTAATATTGTAATCGAAATACGTATTTTTTAAAATTAATGATGTGGTAACTTCCCTGAGGGCTGATAGTTAGTATTATTGAGAGAAATGCATTATTTATTTTTAGAGAAGTGTGGTGCGATGTAGTGCCTTTAACTAAAAAAAATGGAAAGTTGTATTTGTGTTGCCATGGTTGCACCGGGTTACTGTCATCATAAGTAAAATTCACTGACGTTTATCACTTGGTGTATCAACCTGACAAAGATGACGATGCAAATATATAATTTGGTCGTAATTTCCATGATCAGCGCCTTCGGACACGACCAAGGGAAACAATCCACTTTCCTTACCAGCTGAACAAAAAGATAACTGAAGTGGTCCTGGACTTAGATTGCACCCCCTTAGATTTATAACTATAAAATGTAAACATTTTTTCCAATTACTCTGTCTTGGGAGTACAGATAAACACTGTTGTTTTGAAGTTGAAGGGACGTTGGAGGTATCCGATTTCGACACAAACGCAAAATGATCACTCAAAAAGGAGAACGCAGGGACCAAGCGTATATTTCGAGACAACTGTACGTTCGACACATCAAAGTGTCAATGGGGTTTGACTCTACACGAAGTTGTGTCGACGTTGAAGGGACTTTCGAGGTATCCGATTTTCTATGCAAACGAAACACAATTACTCAAAAAGGGAACAAGCGTATATTTCGAGTCAACCGTAAGTTCGACACAACGAGGTTTGACTGTACACGATGTATGCTGAAAAGGGACGTACGTGAAAATACCTTCTTTGCCTAACAGATGAGTGGTAGGTCCGGACACTTCTTATCTACATACTCGGATATCCAAGCGTCTGGTAACTTCCTTGTAGTATAATGTCACTTTGACACGGATGGCACCTGATTCATGCAACCCGTGAAGGTCCGGGGTAGAATGAGCCTTCAGTAACCCATGCTTGTCGTAAGAGGCGACTATCGGGATCGGGTGGTCAGGCTCGCTGACTTGGTTGACACATGTCATCGGTTCCTAATTGCGCAGATCGATGTTCATGCTGTTGATCACTGGATTGTCTGGTCAAGACTCGATTATTTACAGACCGCCGCCATATAGCTGGAATATTACTGAGTGCGGCGTAAAACTAAACTCACTCACTCACTCCTGATCTAAAAACTCAACTTTGTGTAGATTTTAAATCTACCCTGTTCTAGATGACAATCTATCTCGATGTAAACGCTTGATATTTCAGCAATGCCTGTGACAAGCTTCACCTTGAGCACAATGAAAGTTAATGAATTATTTGGTTTAAATAAATTATGTTTTTCCACAGAACATGATGGATATTATGAAAGGAATTCAAACAGGATATTTTTGTCCTCTCGTAGAGAACGCTGCGTTTCTAATCTATTCATCAAAAAGCATTGTAATTTTTGATAATGCACAGTCTTGCCCTTGAAAAGAAACTGGGGTGAAAGAGGTATGGGACCGATTTCCAGCATGGGAGTATTAAGTGTTGTTTAAGGCCTTTGCGGAGATACTGTGAGTCTAAATATGATCTATGATAAGTTACGGAGAGATGTTATGTTGGGATATGTGTTTGTTGTGGAGGGAAGGGGTTGTTAACGATAAATGTAGAAACAATGTTATTTCGGAAGTCATTTACCATGGTTTCCGCATTATCCCATGGTATTATTTGGCATGTACAGGGAATGGGGTTTTGTACACATTGCTGTGGCACACGCAGCTCACTATAGTAAAACTGTATTCAAGGTAAGATTCAGATTGTTTCTATCTGGATATGACAAACAGATTATGTAAAGGTATGTATTGATAATGTGGAGTCATAATTGCCTGCGTTTGTACCTCCTCTGCAACTTTTTCAGGGCCCCGTTTCACAAAGCTCTCGTAGCGCTACGATTATATCGGGAGCAGGACAAAAGCCACCCGGACAAATGCCACCCGGACAAAAGCCACCTGGACAAATGCCACCTAGGACAAATACCACCTAAGACAAAAGCCACCCAGTTATTTTACCATTACAGAGAGGACAATTACCACCCTTATTGACTTTAATGAAATTTTATATGTACAGTTTACAAAGTATTTAAATTGAAAAGAATTTGTTTTTTGTTAAATAAGGTTTACTTTGATAAAAATGTTGATTTTGTTGTAAAATTATGTAGACTTTGATGAATAATTTGGTTTCTTTTAAAAGATTGTTCACTTTGATATTCATAGTAATGTTGACTTTATAGCATGTTAACGTAAGTGGCTGTAAAATTTGATTAAAGAAATAGTTTGACTTAAATTTTGACTTTGAATTTGGTTTAAACATATTTTTATTTTGCCAAAGCAAAAAACCTGGATAGGCGAACAAGCCTAGTGGCTTTTGTCCTAGGTGGCTTTTGTTCGGGTGGCTTTTGTCCTAGACCCGATTATATCGTAAGTCAATGTTACAGTATAGGAGGTAGGAGTGCCACGAGGAAAGTTACGAGGTCTTAGGCTTACGAGAGCTTTGTGAAACGGGCCGCAGGTGAATCTAAGAAGCGTCTCCTATATCTATCTGAATAACGATCTGCCCTCACAGTCTCCCTCCTAAAATTGAGTAACAATAGCCAATGGATGTAAATTCAACTAGCAACCTCAAGAGTTGTCCAAACACTCCAAATATCAAGCACATCGCGTGACCTCAGTCGGCCTTTCAATCCGACAATGCCTTCTTCATATCACGTTAGAGGCGAGGTGACGTGTGAAGTATGTACAATTGGTATCAGTATTAGATAGAGACATGCACACACGGAGCCAGGGTACCTTGTATCCGTTACCTCATGGCGAGGTGGCGTGTGATGTACAATCGGTATCAGTATTAGATAGAGACATGCACACACGGAGCCAGGGTACCTTGTATCCGTTACCCAATGGCGAGGTGGCGTGTGATGTACAATCGGTATCAGTATTAGATAGAGACATACACACACGCAGCCAGGGTACCTTGTATCTGTTACCTTATGGCGAGGTGACATGTGATGTACAATCGGGATCAGTATTAGATAGAGACATACACACACGCAGCCAGGGTACCTTGTATCCGTTACCTCATGGCGAGGTGACATGTGATGTACAATCGGCATCAGTATTAGATAGAGACATGCACACACGGAGCCAGGGTACCTTGTATCTGTTACCTCATGGCGAGGTGACATGTGATGTACAATCGGGATCAGTATTAGATAGAGACATACACACACGCAGCCAGGGTACCTTGTATCCGTTACCCCATGGCGAGGTGACAAGTGATGTACAATCGGCATCAGTATTAGATAGAGAGACATACACACGCAGCCAGGGTATACACACTTTGTATCCGTTACCCTCATGGCGAATTGACAAGTGATATACAATCGGGATCAGTATTAGATAGAGACATACACACACGCAGCCAGGGTACCTTATATCCGTTACCCCATGGCGAGGTGACATGTGATATACAATCGGCATCAGTATTAGATAGAGACATACACACACGCAGCCAGGGTACCTTGTATCCGTTACCTCATGGCCAGGTGACAAGTGAGGTACAATTGTTATCAGTATTAGATAGAGACATGCACACACAGAGCCAGGGTACCTTGTATACGTTACCCTATGGCGAGGTGACATGTGATGTAAATCGGCATCAGTATTAGATAGAGACATGCACACACGGAGCTAGGGTAGCTTGTATCCGTTACCCCATGACGAGGTGACATGTGATGTACAATCGTTATCAGTATTAGATAGAGACATTGACACACACAGCCAGGGTACCTTGTATCCGTTACCCCATGGCGAGGTGACATGTGATGTACAATCGGCATCAGTATTAGATAGAGACATGCACACACATAGCCAGGGTACCTTGTATCCGTTACCCAATGGCGAGGTGACAAGTGATGTACAATCGGGATCAGTATCAGATAGAGACATGCACACACGCAGCCAGGGTACCTTGTATCCGTTACCCAATGGCGAGGTGACAAGTGATGTACAATCGGGATCAGTATCAGATAGAGACATGCACACACGCAGCCAGGGTACCTTGTATCCGTTACCCCATGGCGAGGTGACATGTGATGTACAATCGGGATCAGTATTAGATAGAGACATACACACACGCAGCCAGGGTACCTTGTATCCGTTACCCAATGGCGAGGTGACAAGTGATGTACAATCGGGATCAGTATCAGATAGAGACATGCACACACGCAGCCAGGGTACCTTGTATCCGTTACCCCATGGCGAGGTGACATGTGATGTACAATCGGCATCAGTATTAGATAGAGACATACACACACGCAGCCAGGGTACCTTGTATCCGTTACCCAATGGCGAGGTGACAAGTGATGTACAATCGGGATCAGTATCAGATAGAGACATGCACACACGCAGCCAGGGTAGCTTGTATCCGTTACCCCATGGCGAGGTGACATGTGATGTACAATCGGGATCAGTATTAGATAGAGACATACACACACGCAGCCAGGGTACCTTGTATCCGTTACCCCATGGCGAGCTGACAAGTGATGTACAATCGGGATCAGTATTAGATAGAGACATGCACACACGCAGCCAGGGTAGCTTGTATCCGTTACCCCATAGCGAGGGGACATGTGATGTACAATCGGCATCAGTATTATGTAGAGATATACACACAGCCAGGGTACCTTGTATCCGTTACCCCATTGCGAGGTACCATGTGATGTACGATCGGCATCAGTATGATATAGAGACATGCATACACGCAGCCACGGTGCCTTGTATCCGTTACCCCGCGAAGACCTGAGATAGGAATGTGTCAGCGGGTGTGCAAGCTTTATTCAGCAAAATTCAACCTTACTGATTTATTATTTGACTTAACAATAATGGAATGTGGACCACATCAGTGAATGCAAGCATGTTCAATGATCCATGTGAATGCAAGCATGTGCAATGATCCATGTGAATGCAAGCATGTTCAATGATCCATGTGAATGTAAGCATGTTCAATTATCCATGCGAATGCAAGCATGTGCAATGATCCATGTGAATGCAAGCATGTTCAATGATCCATGTGAATGCAAGCATGTTCAATTATCCATGCGAATACAAGCATGTTCAATGATCCATGTGAATGCAAGCATGTTCAATGATCCATGTGAATGCAATCATGTTCAATTGCAGTCCCATGATGCACTCGAGATCTGTCCTGACCGGGAGGCCCTGCAGAGGTTATACGAACCCAATGCTGATTACACAGACCAGGCTGTTTACAAACAGTTTCCATATAGCTTCAACATATCAGTCACACATATCCATATACACAAGGTAAAACGCTCACCTCAACATACTACTGTCCAACCAACGTGAATTGTGCAAACATAATTATATTGAACAACCACATCATTCAGTTATCATGAAGAACTGTCACGTAACTTATGTATCTTGAAACACATATCATGTGCACAACTCTTTGTGTTTACAGTATAATATATCCAACTGATGTACCAACAGAAAACTGCGTTTATAACAAATACGCTTGTAACGAACTGATAGACATAACGAACTTTTGCTGTTTTCATCCAAGCCACTTGCAAAATATCTCATTGAAAATGAATGTAACGAACTACGGTTATAACGAACAAAATTTTGTGGTCCCTTTGAGTTCCTTATAACCGTAGTTGATACACATTGGCAAGTCATGTACTCTGTTCCTCCTATAACACTCGGTCCTCGGTACCCGCATCCAAGCCAGTCAACACCACGGGGTTGTCAGCTGCAGACTGGGAGGGATTCCGTTCCCTCCTCTGACAAGGTCTGCCAAGGTCTGCCTCCTCTGACAAGCCACTTGCAAAATATCTCATTGAAAATGAATCTAACGAACTACGGTTATAACGAACAAAATTTTGTGGTCCCTTTGAGTTCCTTATAACCGTAGTTGATACACACTGGCAAGTCATGTACTCTGTTCCCCTATAGTGGTCCCTTTGAGTTCCTTATAACCGTAGTTGATACACACTTGCAAGTCATGTACTCTGTTCCCCTATAGTGGTCCCTTTGAGTTCGGTATAACCGTAGTTGTCCCTTTGAGTTCCTTATAACCGTAGTTGATACACACTGGCAAGTCATGTACTCTGTTCGCCTATAGTGGTCCCTTTGAGTTCGTTATAATCGTAGTTGATACACACTTGCAAGTCATGTACTCTGTTCCCCTATAGTGATCCCTTTGAATTCGTTATAACCGTAGTTGATACCCACTGGCAAGTCATGTACTCTGTTCCCCTTTAGTGGTCCCTTTCAGTTCGTTATAACCGTAGTTGATATACACTGGGAGTCAGGTTCTCTGTTCCCCTATAGTTGTCCCTTTGAGTTCGTTATAAACGTAGTTGATATACACTGGCAAGTCATATACTCTGTTCACCTATAGTAGTCCCTGTGAGTTCGTTATAACCATAGTTGATACACACTGGCAAGTCATATACTCTGTTCCCCTATAGTGGTCCCTTTGAGTTCGTCATAACCATAGTTGATACACACTTGCAAGTCATGTACTCTGTTCCCCTATAGTGGTCCCTTTGAGTTCGGTATAACCGTAGTTGATACACATTGGCAAGTCATGTACTCTGTTCCCCTATAGTTGTCCCTTTTAGTTCCTTATAACCGTAGTTGATACACACTGGCAAGTCAGGTACTCTGTTCCCCTATAGTGATCCCTGTGAGTTCCTTATAACCGTAGTTGATACACACTGGCAAGTCATGTACTCTGTTCCCCTATAGTGGTCCCTTTGAATTCGTTATAACCGTAGTTGATACACACTGGCAAGTCAGGTAGTCTGTTCCTCCTATAACACTCGGTCCTCGGTACCCGCATCCAAGCCAGTCAACACCACGGGGTTGTCAGCTGCAGACTGGGAGGGATTCCGTTCCCTCCTCTGACAAGGTCTGCAAGAGATGTCAGGGTCATATGAGGGAGATATGGGGAGGAAAACACAACAGCGTAGCCTGCTGAGGAGCGAGGAGATGTATGGCAGCTTGTAGGGGTCATCTGTACACACATCTTCACGTACTATTCCTGATGACCTGTCTTGCCTTCTGGAGAGGCCTCGTATTTCTGGCGTACCTGGGATATAATAAGGCATTAGTTTATAAGGAACACGCTTATGACGAACTGATGGATATAACTGTGTTTCTTGCACTTGCTGTATGTTTTAGTCGAAAGTTACCGAGCCTGAAGGTTTCCTTCCAAACGAAAATAGAAACACTCGCGAGACAGCAAAACAGGGTCTTAGTGAGTGAGTGAGTGAGTGAGCGAGTTCAGTTTTACGTCGCTTTTAGCAATATTCTAATATCACGGCAGGAGACATACATTGTACCCATGTGGGGAATCGAACTCGTGCCTTCGGCGTAACGAGCAACCGCTATAACCACTGGGCCAACCCACCGCCACAAACAGGGTCTTACCTGGAGCTAGATTATCAAGGGTGCAGCCAACAAAACTGGACACAAACATAGGGGTGGACAGCAGAGTGACGATGACCTGGTCAAATTCTTTTTTTCCTGGAGTGGAAAGCGCAAACCTTCACCATCGTGATATATATGTTTATGAGTGAGTTAGGTTTTACATAGACTAACAACTAGTCTCTGAAATGAACATATTTTACAGACAAAAGGATCAAAGTGAAAAAAATCAAAATATAATAAAAAGGAGCCCTGAGACTTTCTCCATCCTGAAGCTGTGGAAATCTCGACTTGCCACATTTTCTAGACTTGCGTGGGACTCCTTGGATATATTTGCTTCAGGGTCTGTATGACAGACTAGGTTTTACACCACTAGGAACACTGTTACAGTCGTCTTCATATGGATGGAAGTTCGAAGTGATGTAAGTCTTTGACGTTTACAACCTTAGTGAAACCCACCAGCATAGAATATCCATCTGTCTTTTTGTGTGTTTTCTAAACCAACAGGATGCCGAATATTGTCTTTAAAAATATGAAATAAAATAAGTAACTTCAGATCGCTTGGCAATAGTATTTCAATCAATTCATCGTGTAGATCGAGTCGCTTTGCTTCGGAAACATTTAATCAATGTAGACGAAGAATGGTCAATCTGAAGAGTATAGTTTAATCCCATAATGGCATAAATTCCCACAGCTAAAGCTAAGGCAAGGCAACGTCTATTTTTTTTACGCCAGAATTTAAAAAAAAATATTGCTCGGGTATGATGGGTACTGACAAAGCTTGAACCATAATGAGACCGAATTAGAAATTCGAATTGCAATGTATATTATATGTCATGAATAAGTGATAATTGTGTTTTAATTATGTTTGATTTTTGGTTGCATGTGACCTTTAATTCATTCCCGCATTGCCGGTACGAGTATACAGTATTAGGGCCCGATAGTAACAAGTCCTTATAAGCGTGTTCCAGTAGAGTTCTTAATTCATTCACGCATTGCCGGTACGAGTATACAGTATTAGGGCCCGATACTAACAGTCCGCGGACCCAGTCGAGCTTAATTCAACGAAGGTATTCCATTCAAGGCCTATACTGACAATAACGCTCACACGCGGTCAATATTCAATCGTGATAACAGTGACATGCTATGTAACGGCTACGATTTGTACGCGTGTGAGGGGTGTCGTGGCAAATTGACGAAATGAAAACATTTCAACCTTACATAAAAAAACAGTTTATTGACAGATATTAAAGGTCACATGCAACGTAAAACACAACTTTGCAGATTCTGATACCTTTCAGTATGGACTGAAAAACCCCCCGCGAAATCTGAGTTCAAACGATTCACTAAATTCACCCCAGCTTGGGGTGAAAAGTGGTTTCAACAGCTGGGCTGGGCTCATAGCGCATGCGCAGTGAATAGGTTCTCGCAGCTTGGAAGCGGGATGTCCGAATTATAAGGTCGTCAGAAGGAGTAGTCTAATCAAAACAAATAGTAAATAATCTACTCGTTACATACAAGAACCTTGTTAGGATCTAGATCTACTCAGCTATGTGTCAGCCGGTGAGGCGTTCGACATTTCAAGACCGAAAACCTTCGCTGGCGGTGAGTACTCGGTGAAGGCTTTGATGTGAGCTATTTTTCTAATGTTTTGTTGATATTTAAGAGGCGCGAGCTTTTTTATATGTTATGACAGTAGATTACCGATTTAACTGTTTATATAATTTCATTTGTCTATTTCACCATACGGTCTTCTTACCGAGTCACTTTCTCAGTTTGATACTTAAAAGCAATGTCATTATTTAGCGTTGACAGAATTTCTAACTGTGATATAGATATGTCTTTGTCACAGACAGAACTCAATGTCTGTTTCGTTGACACCTATGTGTCTGCCTGCCTGTCTGCTAATGACAATATGCAACTTCGATCACTGACCACATGCAATTTGAACTTAACACCTACCAGGCTATACACCATAAACAAAACGCATTGATTTATGGCTCGTGCACCCGAGTTCGGTCTCTGTCACATTATGTAATTACACAGACAGGCAGGTGTGATACTTGTACACATGACATGTTATGATGTCTGTTGATTGCAAAATGTTATACACAAAAAATGAGCATGTATTTACAAAACCCAACATCTCTATATACACACACACAATGAGCCGTGAAGGTATCAGCAAATGAACCAGCCAATGCAAGTATTCGTTACATATGGGTGCACACCCACCCGCTCTGACTGGGTTCGGTATCAAGGGTGCTTCGTTTCGAGGGAAGTAAACCCAAGCACAAAATATTGCACTTTTGATTTGCGATTGTACGCTTATAATGTTGTTTATATGTTTTCTTCATAATCAGCGAAGTAGATTATATGTCATGAATAAGTGATAATTGTGTTTTAATTATGTTTGACTTTTTGGTTGCATGTGACCTTTAAGTCATTAAGCCCGAGAGCCACTTCACTGCTCAACACCTGGCTCCTCGCTCGCTGTGGCGAGACTAATTAGTGCTACGACGTACGATGTTTCCTAGTGTGGGGATGCTACGAACTTTTATAACGAGCAAACGTTCTATCGTTCTGCTTTGTCGAAATTATGATCGGAAACCAACCGCGGCTCGTGATTGAATCGATTCTTTCGAACGTCTAAGGACGCTATCAGAGACAAAGAACAAGACGTCACGTGGTCGAATGCCTCTGATTGGGTGGAATTTTAATCGGAAACCAATCAATACGACGCTTCCTAAGCCACACCTTTTCTGACCAAAGAGAGAGGTATACAACATACCTGTATTGATGGAGTTGACGTTCTTGGCCACCCAGTCCGGCAGCAGCAGGCCCAGAGCCATGGAGAATCCCATGATCATCAGATTCCGGGAGGATGAGAGATTCACCAATCGGAACATGGACACGCCTACGGCAATTACCATGCTCATTGTCACCAAGCCAAATCCACCAATCACAGGGTCGGGAATTAGAGAAAAGAGCGCTCCGAACTTGCCAATGATGCCCATTAGGATGGTGAGGAAGGCAGCCGTCACGAACACAGCTCGGCTGGCCACCTACAGGAATAACCATTCCACAAAAGTGAATGTGACACGTGGGCAGCATAAATTTATTTTCGAAATTTCTCAGTAAAACAGGGGAGGTAACGACAGTTTAGGCTTGTCAACTCCATATTTTCTAGCGTGAAACTGCATTGCCTTATTTCAGAGTTTATTACACAACAGATAATTATGAATACTAAACCTTGCGACGAGTAAGCTATCATGAAGGTCTCAGCTTGAAATGACTTGCTTACAAAAGATGCTTGCAATTGCTTGCTTGTTTTACCTTCCGGATTATGAATACATGGTTATGAGACATTGTCCTTATGTGAGCACATGTCCACAAAAGGTTCGTCCTTGTGATAGCACCCCGATCATGAAGAATTACCAACATAAAGTTTAGCATTTTCTAATGTATAACCAATTATCAGCATTTATCCTTGTGACGGCTAGTACGCAACATTGTGAATGACCAGTCCAGGAGTTATATCTTAATGATGGATCCGAAATTACGAATACCGAACTATTTCTATTGATCACAGACCCATCAATAGGGCCCTTAAAGATCACATATACTCTAGGGGGTACAAATATATAAATCAGTAATTGGCATCACTATAAATGAAATCCCGTCATTAAAACTACTCATTTCGATCTTTGATTAACTTAAATCGACCTTTTTGACAACAAGGCACAATTCTCACCCGCGAACGAAATTTCAACCAATCAGATATTGAGGTTTGTATAAACCTGAAATCGTGACAATTGTGAAAAATGAAAGCTATATGTTCTCATAATCTACTGTCATTTAATTTTGTTACCTGCTTTGCCTAGCTTCCGAGTTACAACTTGTTTGTCAAAATCGCTTGGTTTCGCTAGGCCTTATTTGTTCGGGCCAGACGCGAGTGATAGCGTAAACGACGATCAGTCTCGCTCATCACGGTTACGGTTAATTTCTTCAACCTAAACAGTGCGACATTAGGAAGGGTGGATGCCCATATCAGATACAGTTATTTGAAAATATCCCCGGTAGTTCTTGTCTGATTGTAATAAAGTATCAAAGCAGTGTGGGCTTTTTCAGGTTTTCTAATGCCTGGATGGTATAATGACTGATCCAAATTGATCCCATTTCTGTGTGTTTTTTTCACCTCGATACTTAATCATGTCATGTAAAAATATGAGGTCTATTACGTATGATATTAAAAACGGACATTTGATTTATTTGAATCCGTAAACTAAACAACCCCACTTTGCCATTGCCAGAAGAATCTGAAAATCTACTTAGGTAAATAGGTACATACAGTTTTAGCACACAGCAAATGCTTCTATGTATTTCTTATGCCACAATGAAGTTCTGTCTGTATTTTCAAAACAGTGTCGGCCCACAAGTTTTTACATGCAATTAAAATTGCATGCACTACAACAATTAATACTCCCTTGTTGTAACTCGTGTTAGGTGGTATAAACCTACACATGGTATAAGTAGTAATAACACCACTTAGATTACCCGACAAAGGTTCCCATGACCACTTAGATTACCCGACAAAGGTTCCCATGACCACTTAGATTACCCGACAAAGGTTCCCATGACCACTTAGATTACCCGACAAAGGTTCCCATTTGTCATTTCTTGTGTCTGGAGTAAATACTCAACATTATTAATAAAGGTCTGATGTGGAAAATGTATTACAGGTTATGTATTATGCGCATGGAAGTGCAGCGAGAAGAATTAGCAGCCGAGTTACAAGAACAAACATCGATCAAAGTATTAACCGATAACACGCTGGTTGATTCAATACTTTTGTCTTGCACATTGGATTTGTCAAAAGGTGGGATTTATGTATGTAGATTTACTAATCTAAACTGAATACACTCTGTCGTAAAATGTCTGGGTAAAAACAACGTCCTTCTTTCAAGGTGGGTGTCAATATAATACTCCTTACAATAGTATTGTTACTTCGACCACAACCTCGCTTCAGAGGAAGAAATCGTTATGTTACTAGTTGTGTCATGGAAAATCTTATTGGTCATCAATCATATACATATTTTACTACAACTAGTAAGTAGTTCTAATTCTTTAACTTCCGAGAAGCGATCTGAACACAAATAAGATATATCATTCCAGGCTTCCACAATGCTCGCTTCGCACTCACAAACATAACCCATTTAGCAAGAACTACTGGTCCGGTGGAAATCAGTGCATGGTGACAACATCACCCGACCCCTAGGAGCAATTGTCGGAAACGCAACGATTCGGCATGTCTTTGCTGACGTCAAGGAATCAGCAAAATGACGAGCTTGTTACACACTTTATATACAACTAACTGAAAATCCTTCCTCACATAACGTCACTTCCGGTTCACTGCAGCGCTCTGGCGGCAGAGTTAAGTAACCTCTCTGTGGTTTAGTTGGCGGGCTAGAGTGAACCAGGCGACTATTTGGCAACTTATAATCGCTCTGTATTAATTAACCACAGGTGTTTAAAGAACGAATTTGGCGTTCCGCTTAAGACTAACCACAAATCTTTCATATGTAATGGTTAAAAGAGTACAAACAAAAAGTTTGTTCTTTAAGTAGGTCACGGCACTTCGCGAGACCTTAGTACTTCCAGTGACAAACGACGTTTCATACCATGGTCTCATGGTTGTCAGTTGACAGGAATGAATCGATATTCCTTGAAGATATAACAAATATCCGATCTAACCATCCCGAAATTAGCCAACTATTACGACTGTCAATTGCTGTGACAACCAAGCATGGTTGAACACTTGGTCCGGTCTAGTAAAGTTATATTAGGCTGTCGCGCAATTTCGAACCAGAACTGGTTCTTGTATATATATATTTGTCACCGGAAATCTAAGAACGGAAGTAAACTGGGCCCCGTCTAGGATATCGCAAGTTGGCGCGCGCAAGAGGAGCCGGGAACCAGTTTAGTACTGGAAGTAGCGCCTCGCGAGACTTACAGGCCCTATATCACCATGTGACTGATCACTGTTACCTGTTTCTTACCTTTGTGACAGCGATAACGCCAAGGCTCTCTACGAACACAACACTTGCACACACTCCCCCTAGCATTCCGCTGACAGCACCAGACAACCCGTCCACTGCCAAACCTCTGTTGATGGCGTGAGAGGGTGGGGGAGGAACTTCTGTTCCAAGAGCAACTGTTTGATAGATGCCAGGAAGTTGAATCACAACTATCATGGTGATAGTTAGCATGGACACATAGCCCGAGCCGCTGATAGTTGGTGGCCCATATTTAACTGCAAATGCAACACACATCATACAAATGAGTCATATTTCAGCAAACTCTTAGAGCCAGAAAATATTCCTCACATGACAGCTTTCTACCCAAGTCCCTGATTTAGGCGTAACTTTGATTTAATTTAAGTATACGGTAGTTTGAATGGTTTGAAACACAAAAATATAATAGTACTTTGGTTTTAGCAGGGCTCCTTTTCATTATATTATTTTTCTTTTTACTATGAACTTTTTTCAGTACAATATGTTCATTTTAGAGACTAGTTGTTAGTCTAGCTTTCAGGGGGTCTGTCATACAGACCGTGAAGCAAATATATCCAAGAAAGCCCACGCAAGTCTAGGAAATGTGGCAAGTCTAGATTTCCTCAGCTTCAGGAAAGGAAGAAAGTCTCAGGGCTTCTTTTCATTATATATATTTTTTTTTTACTATGAACATTTTTCAGTAAAATATGTTCATTTCAGAGACTAGTTGTTAGTCTAGCTTTCAGGATGTAGTGGTACAAAGCGATCTTCGTGCTAAGGTGATCGTAACTCCCATACATTAACACAGACTTCCGACAATCGCAAGGTTATTAATTACAAAGGCTGACTAGTACTTTGACTGTTCATATTAGTTCTACCTACATGGTAAAGGAATGTAAAACCATCCTGCGTCTTGGAGGGCGCTCATTCGGACATCTGTTCTAGCCATGTGACCATGAATGGTTGAGTTTCTAGGCAACATGTCTGTCACAGTCAGCACGTGACATACGATGAAGGATGCAGCCATTGCTAAAAGCATCTGTTGACGAAACATTTGTAAAACCCGTTGGAAATATTAACTGTTTTTATTTCGATGACAATCAATGAATGTGACGATAAAGCATTTTTAAAGGCAATGGGTTTGCAAAGAGAAATCAGTTTCAAGGTATTTGTATTGTGATTATAAGAGAAAGGATAATGTAGGTAAGAACTCATTAACTTAAAGCATGTTATTCTAACATAACAGTGTAAACGAATCATTGGGAAGGTATAAAATCCATATTTGCCTGAACTTTCTTCTACATTTTCGACGTGAATGAAATCCAGAGAAGCTACAGTAGTAGCGTTAGACTGCTAGTAATGTATTTATTGTTACATACTAGTTGCCAAATACTTACCGCATTGAGCTGAAACAACGGGTACCGAATAACGTGGCACTTCTTCTCTCCATTACACGCTGGAAACGGAAGTTTCACTTTGACGAGAAACAGCGAAAACAGCAGGATGAGAAGTATTGACCTGTTGAATGATAAAAACGCCGTGCAATGATAAAATGCAAAACTGATATATGTGTATAATGCAGTACAGCAATTGTGGACACCTGATTTGATTTCAGTCCTTTTAAGCATCGTGTACCCTAGTTTTTGTTGGAAAACAACCCTGAGGTCTCATTAACGACACCATGGCTAGATTCAGAGAGATCATTTCTTTATATATTTATAAGGACACAAATGGTCCAATGCCTCGACTGACTGTATCTTGTATCAGATATGTACTCTTGTTGGACACCCGCCCTCAGAACTGGTTAATGACACCATGGACATACATATAAAGGGCACATATGGCCACCAATGGTCAAATTATGCGAACTCGCCACCTTTTGCTGGGCAGAGATTCAGTCATTACGATTGATAGGGTTCAGTTATAGAGGTTTCAAATCAAAGGTACCCATGACCGATTCTTGAATGGTCTGCACCATAACTATGATCAGTGCTTTCACCAAATAGGATAACGCCTGTGGTCTGCCTCATATTCGTCTTTACGAATGGAGCGGTGGGGTAGCCCAGTGGTTAAAGCGTTCGCTCGTCACGTAGAAGACCCGTGTTTGATTCCTCACATGGGTACAATGTGTGAAGCCCATTTCTGGTGTCCCCCGTCCTAATATTGCTGGAATATTGCTAAAAGTGGCGTTAAACTAAACTCACTCACGCACTCACTCTTTGCGAATGGTGGCATGACATCATAAATACCAAAACCTGTCTGAAATGGTTTTTAATTTAATGAACAAAGCTTTATAAATATAGATAAAACATTTACGTTTGGGCTTAATGTTCAGACAGCTGGACAATTACCAACGTCTGGTGACACGTAGTACAAGCTACAAGATACCAGGCTACAAGCTTCCTTAGTTATGTCCGCACACTGGAACCGTGTACACGTACAGAGGATCACCCCTATTACTCTATACCACGTGTATGGCTTGTGGGACAAAGGGTCACCCATTGTACACCCTGTACTTACATGCTGGCGATGCCCCAGTGTTGTTCGCACAGTGGTATCATGTACCCACAGAGCGTCACCCCAATGGTTGTCACACATGGCGCTACTGTCAGCGGCCCGATGAACTTCATTATGAATCCAAGGATTCCCGAGATGCCAAGAAGAAACTGAGTTCCAGATGCCAACATCAGGTTACCCTGGATCTGAATACGACGATGTGTTCAACGAGTGTTGTAATTTTATACGCTTCTCCTTTCTCACACTGTGCAGTTCTCCTTCTTCCTATTCCTGAGGAGAGACATTCTACCGGATATAAAGACCGTATATAAAGTCACATCGATACTTCTTCCCACTTAGACATATTCGTTGACCACTGTAGTGTTTGATGGTCTTGCAAAGCGAAAATAAAAGATGCCCAACTACCTCTCCTTGTGCCTTTCAGTGTATTGTAGCAAGGGCAGCCTGAAGTCCTCCGCAAGTGAGACTTTGAGTCTGATCATCTTGTTTAACAGTTATGCCATCATTGCAGTCGTGTTTTATGAGGATAAAGCAATAACAGAAATGCCCAACTCTCCTCTTACGTTCCAGTCTGGGAGAGTTCATACAATCTCGGGAGGGTTATAAGCTGTGATTAAAGTTACCCCGTTCCTTCTTCACGCTGTCGTTTTTTGGGAAGCGCAATCACTTTTGCTCACTAAAATGAACCGACCTCAAACATACGTAGCTGGGACAGAAAGGATCCAAGGATATACTTTGAATTCCAGTCTTACTCCTTACCTAGTTCCCTGGATCTTCCCTTGCCTAGATCCAACTTCCTTGTGGTTTGTCATGATTGTCTAACCAGACTTCTGCACCCCTCTTTCCTAGCCTGGGAGAAATCCAGTGTGATATTTTACAATACGTAGTGTGTTTCGAACAGTTTTCCTATCTCCAATCCTTCCCTAAACTATCCGCATTCAAGCCTGGTTGCGATTTGCACGAATATGAGTGATTCAGGAAGAGCAGGATGACAACAGGCCATATGACTCGGGAGCTCGAACAGCTGAGCTGGCTGAACAGGATGTACAACAAATGTCCCATTGGCCACAGCAGGGAGTCGTTCAGGTGAGGTGGGTTATTTAGGCCGGAAACAGGTCAGATAATCTCTCCACTCAGAGATCGAGGAAGAACGATAAATCCACAGTGTGAGGTAGGATAAGTATTCATAAATGTAATACTTTATTGTAAACTTGTCAATAATCAATGGAGTCTGGAACAGAGATTTACTTGTTTACTCACATGGTTTATTTATTTTCTGCATTTTCATTCAAAAGTTCGACATAATCTATAACATAGTAAATTGTAGTGAACTTATTTCGTTGCATGTTGCAGTATCAAAGACATTTTTATAACCTCTCTCAGCCGAATCTTCCAAGGAGATGTCCCGTTTCCTTCCACATGTTCCTGCAGTGACTCTTTGGAAATAAAACACCTCCATGCAACATTCTGCATAAGGTTATAGTTTCACAATATCATATTATTTCGTTTTTATCTGAAGTTTTCTTCAGTTTCTTTGGGAAGAACTGCACACTTTAACGTTAAAGCATCTTGTTTCCGATTTGAAAGTAAAATAGGTAATTTGTGTTACACTTTTTGTAAGTAAACCAATCACAATAGAATATAAAGACAGCAACAATGCAAATTCTATGCTCAATATCTACCTCCTCCCGAACTGAATTGGTGTTTGCCCCTTGATGCAAGACGATAAGATACTGTATGAACATTTACCATCTGACCATTTCGGGTCACTCAGGGTGGCAGTGATAGCTATGATGAAGCCACTGTTGGATCCCTGGACAAGTGGGAGTCTGAAGCAGCGAGAATACCAATGCGAACATCATCAAAGGATAATGAAGACACAAACTTGAACATGCCCCATCGCCTTCAAAATCCTAACATCCTCAAATACTTCCACTGGAATTTGGGTAATTTGGCTAGAAATGTATAGTCGTGGATTCTGATGCCATTTTTTTTAGATTTGGTCTTTCTTTCACGAAGCCTCGCTACACCTGAAACACTGTTCTAAGCAGCATAAACCCAAAACACTGAATCTTATTCACTCTTCATTGCAAGTGGGTTGGTGAAGGCACATTCCTTCTTTGAAGGGCATGACGTTTTCTACCCACGATAGTGTAGGATAGATTCTACCTGCCTTTTTATCAGTTAATGAAATAGAGTACAGACCTCTCGTCTTCTTGATGTCGATAATACAACGTGGAAAGTCCCAAGAGTGTTCAAGAACACGTGTATAAGGGTCGGCCACTTATCAACGTGCTGGGTGCTAGTGATGTAGATTTTGGGATAGATATTTCTTATTTGTGTGTACTACAAGATTTAATTGTATTCACTGAAACAAGAAGCAGAACCCTTTACCTTTTAACAATAGGGTTTCTTCAAATCATTCAACACGTCCTCTTAACAATTCATCGTTGTTAAATTCGACATGACATAAGTTTTGTCAGTACTTTCTAGCACAGCTTTCATTGTTTTAAACGAAACCACGCCCCCCTTCCAAAATAGTAAATGGTCAATCATGTGGCTTTTTTATCTTAGGTAATAATGATAAATAATGATTGAATTTATAAAGCACTAAAATACTCCAGGCACCAAGTGTCTGCTCTAAGCGCTATGATGAGTATATAGGAAGGAGTAGGGACACGGAAATCTAGCAGTGATAGTATTTTCTGGAATGTCTTTAATGAGATTTAAAGTTGTCTAGGGTTGGTGATATCACGGGGAAGAGAGTTCCAGAGAGAAGGAGCAGCCTAGCTGAATGACCGATAGCCAAATGACTTCAGATAGGGCTTTGGTATCTCCAGAAGATCAAGATTTGCTGATCTAAATGTTCTCACAGGATTGTGCTTGGAGAATAGGTCACTTAAGTAACTTGGCGCAGTTGTGTGAAAGCACTGATAAGCAAGTGTGAAAGTCTTTGATAAGCAAGTGTGAGAGTCTTAAATTCTACTCTTGCTCGCACTGGCAGCCAGTGCAAGGACTTCATGACAGGCGTGATGTGATAGCGCTTCTTTGTTCTGCTGATGATCCTTGCACCAGTGTTCTGCACCTTCTGGACTGACTGACTGACTGAGTTTTGGTTTTACGCCGCTTTTAGCAATATTCCAGCAACATCACGGCGGGGGACACCAGAAATGGGCTTCACACATTGTACCCATGTGGGGATTCAAACCCGGGTCTTCGGCGTGACGAGCCAACGCTTTAACCAATAGGCTACCCCACCGCCCCTGCACCTTCTGGAGCTTTGTGAGGACTCTCTCTGGCAAGCCGTAATACAGACTGTTGCAATAGTCTAATCGTGATTGAACTAAAGAGCGTACAAGGACACATGTGGCTTCCCTGGGGAGGTTAGGTGTGGTGGTTAGGTGTTAACCGCAGGATGTGTTTTGTTCTAATTAAATGTGTCTATGGAAGTAAAGCTGCAAAGTCTAACCTAGCTCTGAGAAACATTGTACGTTGTCCAATAACGTTCGCAGTATGTATTTGGCTGTATATATTTTCTGTTTACCATTTCCCACAGGACCTGAATTATCATTCCGACGTGAAATCGAAAACGTTTTTTTCGTTTTCAGTTGCGGTGTGGAAATTCATGCTCACGTGTGACACAAGAACATTCTCATCCCTGCACACTCCTGAACAGAACGGCGAGCTTCATCTACATTTATTCAAAAAATGTTTCCGAAGCAAGGTAACTAGAGTGAGTGAGTGAGTTTGGTTTAACATCGCATTCAGCAATATTCCAGCTATATGGCGCCGGTCTGTATATAAGCGAATATGGACCAGACATTCCAGTGATCAACAGCATGAACATCGATCTGCGCAATTTGGAACCGATGGCATGTGTCAACCAAGTCAGCGACCCTGACCACCCGACCCCGTTAGTCGCCTCTTACGACAAGCATGGGTTACTGAAGATCAATATTCTAATCCGGACCTTCACGGGTCAGGTAACTCGATCTACAACACATATGTATTTAAAAACTCTTAACAAGTGACTTAAATTTTTCAATTCCATAAAGTACGTTACACAATGAGTGAAAAACGTTGTCTCGACTACCCGCTCTCTTGATTGGCGAAGAAAGGGATGCGAAACAGGTACAAATACGGGTGGCATTGTTGATGTTCATGTAATCTTATGGCCTCCCCAGTCAGTTGAACGACATGGTGTTGAACTTCACGGCTGCGATAGGGACCTTGAACCCATTTGGAGAACTGAAGTTTGGCGGTGGGTGAGAATTGGTCTTTGGTGTGACGAGTGTAGGCTGTAACCACTAGGCTACCCCACTACCCCTTCTTTAGTTACAGCCTGGTTAGAACAGATACACCTACCTACATCCAAAACATATCTGCAACAGGCTGGCCAACCCGGATGTGAACAAGCACAGACTCAGCATCTCTGACCTCACTTCCGGTAGCTCATCAGCTCCAATTCGATTGGTTATCAACACAGCAGCAGCTAAAGCCCCGACTATGACAAGCAGCGCCTGCTGATTTGTGAAACAAAGTTTCATATAAATAGCAACTACTTGCCCAACAGAACTACTTTAAAATGTTTTAAATGTTTCAAGAAATATGCAAACTGGGAAAATGATGGTCAGATTCACAGATATCTTTGTGATAAGTCCGGACCAATCAGAACGGTTACAGATGCTCTGGATGTGTTAAATTGTTTTGTTTGTTTGTTTTTTGTTTAACGCCACACTCGGCAATATTCCAAATGTATGATCTGTAAACAGTCAGGTAAGTAACCCACAGATTGACATCATGAGCATCGATTTACCCAGTTGGGATACGATGAAATGCACATGCTGAAGTTCAATTCTTACCCGTACCTTCACCAATATATTATTATGTATGTCATTGTAACCACAACGTCGTAATATACGATAGTTCTATAAATCACAATTTTGCATTGAATAGATTCAGGTATGTACAGGCCGGAACAATATAGCTGGAATAGTGCTGACCGCCGCGTAAAACGTTGGCTTCAGATGGACCTGATCACAAATGGTTTGTTTATTTACCTGAATTCCATAGATGGGCCATAACACAGGTGAAGGAGGCTTGTCTACGGTGTAGAGGAGCCTGTTGTGGCTGATATCCATTTCCACGATCTGGTCTTCAGAGGCGGGCTCTTGGTGGTTCGGACAACCATCCATAGTTTGTTCTCCATGCACGATCTGGTCCTCGGTTGCGGGCTTTTGGTGGTTCGGACAACCATCCATTATTTGTTCTCCATGCACGATCTGGTCCTCGGTTGCGGGCTCTTGGTGGTTCGGACAACCATCCATAATCTGTTCTACATGCACGAACTGGTCTTCGGAGGCGGGGGTCTTTGTTGAAAATGCGCAGTCTTCCGTAATAGGCTCTTATTCATCCAGACAGTCAGCCCCAGTGTTTAGTTGTTCTGTATCTGTATTTCAAGAATAGTGTTAATCACCGATGAACACACATGCATATTCATAAACTAGAATGTAAACATTAAAAAGAAGATATTTCACCGTGTGTATCGGTGACGAGGTGTTTAACTTCTCGAACAAGTGCAGTTGCAATTTGATATTTATAATCCAAACCCTGAATCAAAGAAGGTCGTTAAACTTTACCTCTCCTTTCAAAACCTGCAAAAAATTCGGGATAGCTTCAAGTTGCGTTCTCAGCCTGTGGGTTTAGGTAACTACATCTGGTGTTGGAGTGTCCCAAGAGGGAACTTATAGTGTTTCAGTTTAACGATCCCACTAAATAACGAAAGGTAGTTGAAATCATACCATTGTTTGCCACAATATCCCCGCCACTAAAGAAGAATGAACTATAACATATTTACTAGTTTTTATCTATATTTACTAGTTTTTATCTATATTTACTAGTTTTTATCTATATTTACTAGTTTTTATCTTTTGGTCACACAGAAGATTACTTTTTGTGTGGTGTTGTTTTCAGTCAAGGTCACTTCTCAGAATATTCTCCTAACTCTGAAGATATTTCAGGAATATAGTAAATGTGAATGTATAGATGCAGATGCACATATCCACTGTCAGTATCAGTGTGTATTAGGGCTGGGACGGGTCCAAATGTTCTATCCGGGTACTCCACCCCCTATTACACCACCCTTCCCTGATACCCGTAATGTTAATTCCTGACATCAAATTTGTAAGAAATGTCAATATATTCTTCAGCTCAGAGGCTAAACTTTCTGAATATCTTTACCATGTATTATATTGAAAGCAGGTGTCTGTAAATTATGTCTAAATCTTCAAAGGCAATACAACCTTTTACTCATGAAACATAATAATGGGTCCGGGTATTGCGACGGGTGAGATTTTTAAAAGTGTCATATGACCTTGAAAATAAGGTGTGTCTGCGTAATTTCCCAATGACAGCTGTCAACATACTTGAAGACATTGGGTGCAACGTAGTATGAGACATCGCGTTTACGTAAGTTTGAAAAGTAGTCAAAGAGTCATGGTGACCTTGAAGATAGGTTCAAGGCCACCCAAATCGAATGGTGTCTGCGCAATCCCCTAATATAGGCTGTCACCATATTTGAAGATATTGGGCATAACAATGCATGAGATATCGCGTTAACAAGAGTTTGAAATGTGGTCAAAGTGTCGTGGTGACCTTGAAAATAAGGTCAAGGTCACCCAGGTCGACTGATGTCTGTGTAATCCGCCAGTGTAGGTTGTCACCAAATTTGAAGACAGTGGGTACAACAGTTCATGAGATATCGCGCTAACAAGAAACGGAACGTAGGTACATACGGACGCTGCTGAATACAAAGTCCCCCGTTCCGCGTTGCGGCAGGGGACAATAAGTATCACCATACAGACTTTAAGCATGGAATAATGCATGACAGGCACATGTAGCTTTACTCTTTAGGGTTTCGAAAGATGCTACTACTTGCGGGCTAAAACAATTCTCTTAAAAGAAAAAACTCAGTAACATGTATTTTACACAAGTTAACCTTTTCTGTCATGAATCATCAACCGGTAAATATTCCATGTGACTGAAGTATCCACTGTTTCTTTAAACCAGTGAGAGGACGTCTGGGTCCTTCTTAGAAATTGGATAACACAGTCAGATGGCCAACACCCACTGGATGGCACAGTCAAATGGCCTACACCCATTGGATAAAAGAGTCACATGGCCAACCTCCATTGGATGCCTGCTGATTTTAAGCAACCTGAACATAGCCACAGACATCGATATATATCGGGTCCATGAAGCACAATTAAACTAAACCTCTGATAAAAAGGAACCCAATACTGCTGTACCCGTAAGCAAGTATTACGGGGTGGAGATATCACCCTTCAAATAATGTACACCTGTATTACCCACGGTGTACTAGCATGAGTGACGGATGGGACGGGTCGATCAACTGTGGCGCCCGTAGCAGAATAACACGAGGCATTTACCAACGTCTCATCTTGGAATACAGGCTCGCATCCTTCTTCACGTTTCCTCTTGATAGTTTGAAGATAATGATTGGGAGACGAACAAATATCAGTTCGTTCACATGACACATCATCACTTATCTTTTTTGTATCTGTATCCAAATGTTAGCAAAAGTTGCCATAGCTTGTATTTTGTAACAATTAAATCATGTTCTGTATTTAAGTATTTCTCAAAGAGTTTTAGTGGCATGTATATACTCTCTGAATGCAGTTTAACGATCGCATGTCTGACTTGAATTTGTCAAACCTACATGGTTTTTATATGTTCACCATTTTGTATGATCTGACTGCACAAGATCCGTCGACGGAGAATATTTTTCAGCATGTTAGCTGGTTTTAAGTATTCATTTATGGCATAAAATAGTGTTCTTCTTTCTGCTCCTCATTGAAAAAAAATCTGAAAACCTAAAAATTCAACTGCTTCACATTTAGTGCTTCTTGTCGGTCAACAAAGATGCATGCTATGTTAAGCACTTGTAGTGGGTGTATTTACAACACAAGGGTAATGGGAAATCAGCTCGCTTGGCAAGAGGTACCACTAATCTCCCACACAACACAAGACTGGAGTGAATAAACGTCGAGCTTATTGGACAGTCACTGAAAGATTACATAAATAGAGAATACTAGACGAAGTATTATTACATACAAATTATACGAAACGTGTGTCCTTCCTATGGTATCTGACCGGGTGAAAGTGAGGTCAGATACCATAGGAAGGACACTCGTTTCGTATAATTCGTATGTAATGAGACCAAGTGTGGTATTTTATTTATTACCCTCGTCTTACCTTAAAATTGACAAAAATAACGTACTTTTGCTATTTTTATGGTTTCAAACCGAAACCGGTCTCATAAAGAGGTTGCGGAAGAATTTTGTTGAGGAAAAACCTTTGCACTTCTTTTGACATTCGACCCGTGAAGATCCGGGGTAGAATAGGTCTTCAGCAACCCATGTGCTTGCCATAACAAGGCGACTATCTTGTCGTAAGAGGCGACTAACGGGATCGGGTGGTCAGTTTCGCTGACTTGGTTGACAAATGTCATCGGTTCCCAATTGCTCAGATCGATGCTCATGCTGTTGATCACTGGATTGTCTGGTCCAGACTCGATTATTTACAGACCGCCGCCATATAGCTGGAATATTGCTGAGTGCGGCGTAAAACTAAACTCACTCACTCACTCACTTTTGACATTCCTGAATATAGTTCTTATGTGATTACTTAATAAGGAAGACAGAACATGTTGAAACGTTTAGAATTTTAATAGCAGCTTCAAACACAAGCTTCAAAAAAAACAAATATTTCTCATTATAGAATAATAACGAACTATGAACTCATGTCACATCACTTTGCACGACATACCGTCAACCATCACTTGACGTGTTAGCCTAGGTTAGCACTTGAGTCGGCTCGGTCACTGGACGTGAAGTGGAATTCTCGAGTTTTTCCTCTACCTGACAGTGGTTGTTACCAAAGTTAATGTTAATTGTCCCCCCATAGAATGGGACAGAGAATATTGAGTTGACAAACTCAGAACGAGAAGGAGTCGGTGCGAGTGGTGGCCTAGTAGATCTACTAGCAGTGACTGTATTGGATTGAGACGTCATGGTTTGCTGAAGGGCAAGGTAAGGTATTCTCAATGTACTTGCCTTATTTCGCCATCCAAAGTTTTGATATTGAAAACACTGAATGTTCCGAGAGGTTTAACGATGGAAGTGACTCCGTTCCATCGATTTTGACGGAGTGATCAACACGAATGGGAGTCGCCCTGTTTTGTTAGATGGCTACTTAAGACCAATACTATCCCGGATCTTCACGGGTCAAACTTCAAGGTAGTGCCAAGGGTCCTTACATATAGTTAAGATTAAACTTAAGACATAATAGCAGAAAGATTTTAACAAAGTAGAAGAAAGTAAAGTTTCTTACCTGAGTGAATGAACCTGTGTTTATTAGACAGCCAGAGCGCGATGTGTGTCTGTCGTCCGTATTATATACCCATTCCAGCTACCACAGATACAATGTAATTACATTTACTGATTAAACTAACGATAAAATTGTTATTGTGAGCTTGGGACTATGACATTTAGTTTGACCGAAGCATCGATGATAAATGTGTATAATGGATGACCAGTTGCAAGTATGCCACGAATGTATGTTCGGCACGCGCGTAATTTGACCAACGTGGAAAATAAACATTGCACCTTGGTTCTACTAGCTTAAAGGTCACATGCAACTAAAAAAACAAACATAATTAAAACAAAATAATCTCTTATTCATGACATGTAATAAACATTGCTGATTATGAAAAAACAAAAAACAAAATTATAAGCGTACAATCGCAAATCAAAAGTGCAATATTTGGTACTTGGGTTTTCTTCCCTCGAAACGAAGGACCCGGGAGACCGAACCCAGTCAGAGCGGGTGGGTGTGCACTCAAGTGTAACGAAGACGATGTCGTCCCACGAGGCCTAAAATTATTCAGTTAGGTAGGTACAGTTCATTAGGCTATGTGGGACTTCATGCCTCACTGGTTTTATGGGATTACGGTGGATTATTGCTGGACTGGTCCATTATTGGCCACAGAAGAACAACAAAAATCAAATATGATTGTGAAATATTTATTTTAACAGTGATTTATCTTTGATTTTACTTCTACAAATAACAACATGGTGGTTCCTGGTACGCCGTTCCCCCTGCCGGCGTGACCTCTTCGTTATAATGTCAACTTCTACAAATAATAACATTGTGGTTTCTAAAATAACTTTTTCCACTGATGTTGGAAAAAATAACAAACAGTCGATTTTGTTGGGCAGAGGGTATCCATTGCCGTCAATTGAAATGTAATAGACTAGTCCCGATTTTGAGTAAGTTTACAGTTTCTCATTTTCATTTGTCACAAATGGCTTGCAGAGCAGGTGAAGAGAACACACATCAAACTGCTGCTGCACATTGTTTTAATTATAGCGATTTTACAGAAGCCTTTTAGGGCCATTCGTTTCTTTTAAGCTGTTTCTTGAAATTTCAAGATACTAAGTACATTAAAAATCGAATAGCCCTAAAAGCTTACGTACGATTTCCTTGTACAAGTACACTGGACAAAAAAAGAAACGCAACGCCCAAGTGTGATATTTAAAAAAAACTAGACAACGCTTTTATGAATCCGATATTAATGTTATAGATAAGTTTACCTGTTGTCTCTACAATAATTTCTAACACCAAAACACAACAGATGCGTATTTTTCGCCAAAACACAGCAACTGGAAAATATAACGTCATGATATGTGGGGAGAAAAATCTGAAAGCATAGTGCGCGTGAAAGTGTGGTTGCTTGTGGTTGATATGTGTGGCTATAAAACGTGGCAGTCCCGTGCTGAGATATACACATTTATTCGGAATACGCCAACAACAAGATGCCAAGATTGAGTGAAGATGCTCGGAACAGAGCAGTTGGACGTTTAGAGGCCGGGGAAACACAGTCATCAGTAGCGCGACTCCTGAATGTCCATAAAAGTACAATTTCAAGACTTTGGCAGCGTTACAGACGCTTTAATTCGACAAGAGACCGACTGAGAAGTGGCAGACCAAGAGTGACAACTCCTGCTCAGGACCGCTTCATCAGAATATCCCATCTGCGGAATCGAACTGTCACTGCAGCGTACACCGCTCACAACATTCCTGGACGCTGTAGAGTGTCGACACAGGCCGTCAGGAATCGTCTAAGACTCCATGGTATCAGACCGATGAGGCCATTTACAGGACCTATTCTACGGCACCACTATCGTCGTGCACGACTGCGATGGAGTCGAAACGTTCGAGCATGGACCTTCGTACACTGGAGCAGGATTTTGTTCAGTGACGAGTCACGTTTCAAGCTGTTTCGTCATGATGGAAAGATACGTGTTTACCGGAGGCGAAATGAACGTTACAGTCGTCCCTGCGTTCTTGGGAGTGACAGATTCGAGGGAGAAGGTGTCATGATGTGGGGAGACATATCCGCTAATGGGAGGACAAATCTCGTGAACATTCAAGGAAATTTAACTGCTGTTCGTTATCGTGACGAAATTCTCCAACGCCATCTTCCTTCAATCAACGTCCGACGTGAGCTATTCCAACAGGACAATGCACGGCCACACGTTGCAAGTGCTACAAAGAATCTTTTTGCTAACAACAACGTAAACGTGCTCCCATGGCCCTCAAAATCTCAACCCTATCGAACATTTATGGGACCAGCTCGATAGACGTGTACGACTACGACGAGCTCAACCTCAGACACTTCAACAGTTACGCCAAGCATTCGATGAAAAATGGAGAAGGATTCCACAGAGATGTGATTGCTGCTGGTGGGGGGCATACGAGAAACTGACTTTGACACGATGTTGTAGCGGACGCCAACGTTCATGAAGCTTGAAATTACTCAGCATGGCTCGGGATACATGTGGTTATATTCCTGTGAAATTACATATGTGTGCATTCAATATGTATTGAATAAATCGATTTTGAATTGAACATAAACATACCTTGATTTTACCCTGTTGCGTTTCTTTTTTTGCCCAGTGTAAAAGATATTGAAACATTTTTATAAATACATCAGACAACCGGTTGGACATTAGCTGTTGTGGACTGACAATTTATCGAGGTAGTATCAGAACCTCCAAAACCCCCTCCTTAGGTTCAAATGAATCCAATTTCAATGTAGCTCTTGTAGGGTATGGCTATCGATATAGATCGCAGAGATCAATCATCGGTAAGTGAATATCGATCAATTATCAATAAATATTGGAGAAAGAACTTTTAGCACAAATGATTAAAAAATGTGAAAGAAATCAACATATCTCACATCAGTGGATTTCCAGCAAAATACCGTCCTGAACATTCCGTAGGAGCAGCCCATGAATAAAGACCTAACTTTGTGTAATGTCTGAGTTAATTTAAAAACATTTCATCACACTAGCTCATTTACAATGTTATCGATTACACAATTTTCATATCGATAATCATAAAATAATTATTCACTTTCGACGATACTTCCGATTATCGAACTTTTAAGCCTTCCCTAAGCTCTTTAGCGTCCTTTTAAAAACGAGATTTTTATAATTATCATAGGCTATTTATATAGCGAACATATCCACGCAACTTGAACATGCTCAAGGCGCTGGTATTTTTTCCCCCGATCATTGGATGTCAGTCGCAACAGCACATCAATCTCAGCTCCCTGGGGATCATACAACTGTTGCAGCCACTACGCTGCCTGAGTTATTGCGGCTTGCCATCCTAACGAGGTACCCATTCACAGCTGGGTGGACTAAGACACATTGTCACAGTACTTTGCCCTAGTTTACTGCACGATGCTGTACCCACAACTAGGTGTTTGCACGTATTCATGTGGCCACCATCTAGTCATATACCAACGGATTCGTGGGTTATTTTAAGTGCACAGGTTTGTGTACTGTACACTAGGGGTCGTGACAACACTGAAAGAGTCTGCACACAAAGTTGACTCCAAGGTTTTTACACCCAGTCACAGGTGGGCTCGATACCGACACCTCAAGCTCGCTGGATCACCAGCTTGGCGCCTTAGACAACTCGCCTACCATGCCCCATGATTTTCATCTTTTAACGTCAAAGATGGACAATGAAAGCCATCATTAAAGTTCATCTCAAAGTTAGGAGCAATACCAAAAGTACATTGGGCATTTCTTTCCTCCGCATTCAAATATCTTTGTTGAACATGACACCCTGTCTTGAAAAATCATCTGGACGCACATTGTTTGAGTGTTCCCTTGATCTAAAAAATCCTGGTCTTGACGACGGTAACTTAGAAGGCTTTTTAGTATCTGATGCGTGTGTTCTTGCTCCAATACTTAGAGGTAGAGCAGATAAATTACCATTATGTCCATATCAGTTTCGGTTTCACGTGCAGAAACAGAAAAGTACCTTTGTATTCCGCTCGAGGGTGTTAAAGCAAGCCAGGGACTTTTTACAATCTCCTCCTTTCGCGTGTTATTTCAATGGTGACTTCACTATTTTCCTGGGAATTTTTTTTTGTTTTGTTTTGCTGTTGTTTTGTTTTGTTTTGTTTTTGTTTTTGTTGTTGTTTTGGGGGATATGTGTGGGCGGGGGAGGGGGAGGGGCACATTATACATGAAGTATATATCTGACATTATTTTCCTCCTTTGCCCACGAATGATTCTTCTCACATTATGCATTATATATAGCTTTATCCACTATTTTGACAGCTGCCGCCATTGATTGTTACTAGGTAAGACATGCGTGTCAATCCGGCAAGTACCCGAGGTGATTCGATTGGCTGGACGAAAAGAAAAAGAGTTTCTGTGGATGGCACGCATGAGTAGGAAGAGTCAAAACGCGAATGACTATCAGTCGAGCAGGCCGTGGTGTTTTTTCCCTTGGACATATGAACACAGCAAGTGCTTTCAAAAAATGAAATACTTTTTTAAACTAACTTGACTTTGGGCTTTTTGTATGTTAATTATAAACTAACGGGCAAAAAGAAACGATACCAAGTTGAAATCACTGATATTACAAAGCGACAAACCACCATTGTGAAAAAGGAAAGTGAATTTTAATAACAGGTGTATGGGCAACATGCATGGGCGTGTGCATGTGCATGTTGCCCATACACTGGTTATTAAAATTCACTTTCCCATTGCTTAATGGTGGTTTGTCGTTTTGTAATATAAGTGATTTCGACTTGGTATCGTTTCTTCTGCCCGTTAGTGCATTTTTTCCAAGCTAAGTTCGCATTTAAGCCCTTTATAAGACAAAAACGTCTATGTAACATATAAACGATTTAGCCGAATAATGAAACGGTTTAGGTTTAATGCATTGGACTTAAATTAAAATTAAAAACAGATTTACATGAAATGAAAGTACTGAACGAAATCAAACTAAATACCTGAACTCCAGATCGTCAAACTGAAATCAGTGAAGGCTTCTTGTGAGGTTCGATCAGCTGGCCACGTAGTCTGTCATACAGATCCTGAAACAAATATACCCAATGCAGCCAATGCAAGTCTAGATTATCACAGTTTCAACTGTTTCATTCTTACTTTGGTAAGGAGAGAGGGTCGTTGCTGTATTGATATTGGTTAGATCTGTCTTCACCAATCCATGCTTGTCGTAAGAGGCGACTAACTGGATCGGGTGGTCAGGCTCGCTGACTTGGTTGACAAATGTCATCGCATCCCAGTTGCGTTGATCGATGCTCATGTTGCTGATCACTGGATTGTCTGGTCCACACTCGGTTTATTCACAGACTGCCGTAGCCAGATCTTACGTATGTACCTTACATGTCCGTCAGTCACCGACCCTGCATCCTATGGCGTAATTTCTTTACCTGAAACCACCTGACGTAATACCCAAACATTTACATGATCGTTTGTTGAACAATTATTCCCCTTTTCATGTCAATGTCTGAAATTATAGTGACGATTTGGTATAGACAAATGACAAACTTTCATGCCATTTAAGACGGTTTGTTAATTTCAAATGCATATTATTTGCCATTTCATCGGTACGATTTGGCAGCAAACGGACTATTTTTTAACAAGAAGTACTCACGGAAATAGAAATAAAATGGGCTCTTTTGGCGTTTATTTGTTTATTACTTCATTAAAACAGGTAGTTTAACAAATATAAGAAATAACTATGTTTTTCCCAACGAGGTCTTTTAATTGGGTCCTCTAATCATCATCCAAAATACCATTTTCCGGTACAAATTAACAAACAGTTGCATATTATCAACAAATTTAGAAACATGTTATAACTTACGTCACAATCAACAGTGGGTGGTAGCAACTACCTGCAGCACTCTTTGGACGGGAAGATGCTTTGCATGTGGTCTGCCATAGGGACAATCTAAGCTGTGAATAAACTCTTGCAAACAAACTTTCAACAAGAGTACAGGCATGAAAAATGTGCTGAGATAATCCCTACATCAATTATTTTGTATATCAATTATGATAAAAGAAACAAAGGATAAAAGGTCTATGATGTTTTTTATAAAAAATAATACATTCTGCGCGCGAACCTTTGGAGAGTACATCTCATTTGCATACTATAGCTTGCATCACAAACGTACATTTTGACTGATGTAATTTCAAGGGGTAAAAATGACACGATTTGCTCTCCTGTAAACTCTTCTATTTCGGATGATTTATGCAAAAAGTGTTAAAAACGAAAGTTGGGAAAAACGATAGTCAAAGAATATTTAACATTCAAACTTTAGTTGTATACAAAACTACGAAATAAACGCCCAAACTATTTTTTTTTCTGTTTCCGTGAGTACTTTAGCCAGAGAGCTTGATCCCGTTCGTCGCCTCTTAGTTTGTGTTGCTCAAGACCAATTCCAACCCGGATGTCTCGGAATATTCATGCATATGATTTAGATGGAGATGTGACAATGCGGCAGCACATGTCAGTACGAACAGCCACACAGCAGAGGCCCAGATAAGCTGCGTATCCGGGTAAAATACGCATAGAATTACGCATTGAAAAAATAATTGTTGCGTACCAATTACGCATTTAAAATGTTAGATACGCAGAAAGTTTAAAACAAATGTGCACGGAATATATTTATAAAAATCGCTTGCGTAATGAAAAAGAAATCGATTGCTATCAAGTTGTACTGTTAGTATAGGACAAGTGTTGTACTGTCAGTATAGGATGAGTGATTTTTTATGAAACCATTTCCATTATATTTAAGTTGGTTTTGATTAGGTATGACATAAGGCAGAACATACCTGCTTAGTAAACTTACTCAATGGCATATACTTAGGTGAGTAAAATGACTGAAATACGCACATATTTGAAAGCAGTGGGTAACGGAAAATGAAATACCCACTCAACATTCATAATACCCACTCAAAAAAAAAAATACAGTGGGTATAGTACCCACATGAGCTAAATCTTATCTGGAGCTCTGGCCACACACACAGATGCTTGTCGCTAAACTAATCCTAAACGAGACGTTAAACCCCATTCCATTCTACGTCCATCTGGCAAGGCTTTGAATCCTTGTCATCCTTGAGTCCAGCGATGATAGGATCCCTTCTATGATTTTGGTTGGTTGAGTTGTTGTTACGCCGCACTCAGCAATATTCCAGATATATGGTGCCGGTCTGTATATAATCGAGTCTGGACCAGACAATCCAGTGATCAACATCATGAGCATCGATCTAAGCAATTGGGATACGATGACATGTGTCAGCCAAGTTAGCAAGTCTGACCACCCGATTCCGTTAGTTGCCTCTTACGACAAGCTTGGTTTACTGAAGACCAATTCTATGGCCGCTACTTAATGTATATTTGGCAACAAATTCTTAACTTGTTCTCGTCTCGATATGGCTAAAATATTGCCGACGTTACGTTACATTTTGTAACTCACTCATTAGCTATGCAGCATGGAGCGAATCTGGCATTCGAAACCACGAGTGTCATAAGTAGTCGACTACATAACTGTTTTAAAAAATAACTATTAAAACGTGTCTTAAAACTCACTTACTCGGTCATCGTGCTTGGATGTCTCGAAAGAAAGCCGGGCGGTGGGGTAGCCTAGTGGTTAAAGCGTTCGCTCGTCACGCCGAAGACGCGAGTTAGATTCCCCACATGGGTACAATGTGTGAAGCCAATTTCTGGTGATATTGCTGTACTATTGCTAAAAGCTAAACTCACTCACTCGACAGAAAGCCGAACTTATTCTCTGGGAGGGTCTGAAGCCACGTCATGCCAAAAAACGGTACTTGATATTACCTTGCCTGGTGCTCGTCATACAGGTAAAACAAGGACATGCCTATTATGAGTCATTATAGTGAGTGAGTGAGTGGGTGGGTAATGGTTTTACGCCGCTTTTAGCAATATTCCAGCAATATCACGGCGGGGACACCAGAAATGGGCTGCACACATTGTACCCATGTGGGGAATCGAACCCGGATCTTCGGCGTGACGAGCCAACGCTTTAACCACGAGGATACCCCACTGCCCCATGAGACATTATACTGTGTCAGAGATGGGTCTTTATGTCAAACTGCGTCATTGTATCTCAGTTAGCCTTGACTAGCACACACATGTACGCACGCATGCACGCACATGTGTATGTACTTTGCTACATACACGCAATAATCTTGAAGTCGACACTGGACATCACTTCAGCTGGTCAGATATCCGAAGCTATCTCGACCCGTTTCCTGTTAATCTTAAGCTACTTTGGCTCTGCAGTAAACACCGAGTGCGCGAAGGTGTAACTTACAAGTTAGGCAAGTGAAACACGAGCTTCCCCTGCGCGTGGCGCCGTCTCCTAACGCCGTATCACTCAGTAATTAATGGAATCTCAAGCCCAAGAGATAACTCCTACAACGTCTTTTCCAACAGCGCTGTACAATCTGGTATTATGAAATCTGGTATCAAGTAAAGATGCCGTCATCATGTATACCAGCATGTCGAAAGATACTGTTTCTGTATTTAGAATCTTAACCGGACGGTGAAATTCAAGATGACAGATGTACAGTGATTTGACTTAAAAGGCCATAGCTAAATCAAAGGAACACTTTATGACCCAGCGTACCTTTGAATAGGACCTATTTTGCTACAACTCCCCATTACTGACTCAGAAACAAGGCCGCACCTGGAGATAAGTGTGTCGTCTGCTCCTCAAACATCAGACGACATTTTAAACAAGTGAGTAAACCGGTTGTGCATCTGACGTAACGTAGAAAAAGGGTTTATTTACACATTTCTGTGCTGCACGTTTGCGATAACAGTGACTAATGAATAAAACGTCTGCCATAAAGCTCTCCTTGTTTAGTCCGTGCATGGTTTTGTTGTGATATATCTCTCCAACGCACGAAGCGATTCTTCAAGCCATATCCTGGACTGTTTAAATAACACTGTGTAAAGACGTGTGTTTTTGTGTGTAAGGTGCTACCCCGGGCCAAAGCTTTCGGTGATCTAGATCGGCGTTCGGCCTTCACAGCCAGACTAGACATTCTCACGTGCACATGTGCTGGGTGTGTATTTCACATTAAATATCAACCAGCAAAGCTAACGGCAGCAACATGGCGATGCAGGAGGATATTGAGCTGCCCTATCTGACTGAAGGATACCTTGGCAAGCAAAATAAGTTTGATAGTTATGGATTAATCACAGCTTCCCATCCGGATCCCTTCATCAAAATGGAATCGGATCGTGTCGAGATTATCATCGGAACGTCAGAAAAGATTCGGATGACGACGAAAATGATTTCCATGGCGACGAAGAAGGAGTGTAATGAATATAGCCTGGTCAGAATTCAAGGTCCCAACTTCTGCTTTCTTCTTAGACCACCAGTTCAAGGATTCTATAAATTCCAAATCTACGCCCTCCCGTCAGGCGAAGCTGGACCGCAGATGCAAGGGGTCATCAATTATGTGGTGTATTGTCCAGGGTTAGCCGCCGATGTCCAGCCTTTCCCTAAACAGTACCCTCAGTGGAAGGATGGCTGCTATCTTTACGAGCCCTACACGATACCAAAAGGTAGCCGAGAGCCAGTTGGGTTCAAGGTTTACGTCCCCAAGGCCAAAGACGTGCAGGTAAAGGTGGGGAATGATTGGAACCCCCTTGAACAGACCGAGCCAGGAACCTTCGAAGGAACTGTGGACCTTAGCACGAATTATCCCCCAAATACCTTGGCGAAACTCAATGTTAAATATATGGGGAATAATTACAATACTTTGCTGGAATACAAACTTTGAAGTTTCAACATTCAGTTATCCTTGTTGGGCTTCGCCCTTTTTGCGAACGTTCATGAATTATTTTTGGAGTGTTTTACGTTTTTTCTCACATTCTGCTTGCGTTACACAAATGGCCGGACGTCATCATTGAATCATATGCAATGGATGCATGGGCACAAAGACATTCTGAGATTTTCCATTTGATGCTGTAACTTTCCCTGAACAGTAAACTTGTCGCGAAGTGGCACCCCACCACGACAAATATGTCTGAACATGATTGAATATCTAGTGAAGGATTTGATTCTGTAACGAGGTACGGGTTATTGCTTGTCTAAATTGTATAATTTAATAAGATTCTTTAAGCTGACGTATAATGATTTATCTACGAAGTTTACACAATATCTTTGCATAATATTTCTCTTTGATTATTCAGTTACATACTTATTTGTTCCGAAAGGAATAAAATTTTGCACAAAATGCTGTCTTTTAACTTATGTTTGCACATGCTGTTTTTACACTGAGTTGTGAGTGACAGTTACGTACTTAATGGGCCGAGTAAATACGCCAGTTTACTTGGTTGGCCGCGTTCGGTTGGAGTCTGTTTCAGATGATGTGGGATAGCCTTGTGGTTATAGCGTTCGCTCGTCACGCCGAAGACCCGGGTTCGATTCCCTGTATGGGTGCAATGTGTGAAGCCAATTTCAGGTGTTCCCCTCCGTGATATTGCTAAAAGCGGCGTAAAACTAAACTCATTCACTCAATGTTTCAGAAGACGACTTTTCATAACTAAAATGTTCATTCCGTTTGATTCGGGCGTTGAATGCGGAGGGCTCAAGCGGAAATTATTCAGTAATATTATGCGTCATGCATGTATAGTTTGCCATTGTGCAAAATTTGTTTGTGTGGCTGCAACATGCCACCGCCTGCTGCACGCCGCTATATGACTAAAATACTGTTTTGATTGGGGTTACGCCCAATTCACTCAGGAAGAGACTCAGAATTTTTTTTTATGGGTCTCGTTTCACAATCTCCCGTGACTCTTTTGTCGCTATTATGGCTTTGTGAGAAGGTCACAATAACCGATCCCTGTAGTTACTCATGCAGTCAGTGTGCCTGGAGAGCGAAGATTATTGGTTCGACTCCTGGTGCCAAAGGGTATTACTTGCTGTTACCATGCCTGACACTCGGCATTGTAGAGGTGTACGATATCCCTTGGTACAGTTCTAAGGAAGACTTACCTCATAGAATCCACGAAATCACACGTTCCAGCTAGATTTAGTAAATAGTTCCGAGAGGTCAGTCATAAGCAAGTCTGTTTTCTACAGTGCATTCTCGCAAGTCTCGTGAGATCTCTCCGTTTTGAAACATGGTGACGTCACACAACCTCCATAGCATTAAGAGAATAAAGCATGGATCAGGACTGATCGGTTCGAAGATAGAGTATGCTGTGTCTGAGTTGGGGATTCCATGGTAAACTGCGGTATGACATCTCGGCATGTTAAAATAACCAAACATACGCGACATGAATTTATCTCACCTCCCCTCATGCAGTCAACTGCTTTGCCAAGGCCAGACAATATTCACACGCAGTCGTACAGCAGCTGGGATGTTACTGCTGCGGCGTAAAATAACACTCATATAGATGCAATGTGTGAAGTCCATTTCTGGTGTCCCCCGTCTTAACATTGCTGGAATATTGCTAAAAGCGTCGTCAAACTAAACTCACTCACTCATAACAACAATGGTAAACGTCTGAGACTTATATCACTTCGGTCTTGCCTCGCACATTAAACTGTAGACTAATGCTTAATGAATATATATAATTTTGATAGTAGCAAACAAGCCCAATGAAATTGAAAAGGAGCCCCAGGGAGACCAGAGATTCAGAACCTGAGGAAATCTAGACTTGCTTTATTTAGGGCTTTAGCACTGCAGAGAGGGCTTGGCCGTAGGGAAAATAATGTGGTTCAGGGACTGAGAGACAGACTAAGTAAACTGCTACATCGTGATATTGCTAAAAGCAGCGTGAAACTAAACTCACTCACTCACTACAACAATGGTAAACGACTTATATCACTTCGGTCTTGCCTCACACATTAAACTGCTACATCACTCACTCACTCACTCACTCACTCACTCACTCACTCACTCCACTCCACTCCACTCCACTCCACTCCACTCCACGCTCCACTCCGCTCCACTCCGCTACTCCACTCTACTCCACTCACTCACACATCAGAACAGATCCATGTTTCATGAATCTACACCTGCTCAGCTCCAATTCATAATATTCACTACACCTAAAAAAAGATGCATTGCTCAACATCCCCAGTCAAATACGCTTTAATCCTCTCTGTGGATGTTGAATCAACACTGAGCTGGAAAAAAACCGGGTGGCTTTGTACAGACTTAAGGCAAGGAATATATGGGCTTTGTGTGCTTATCTGTTCATCAATGGTTTGTGACGTTGTTAAAGCAAGAGCCACTTGGATGCTCGGGAGGAGGTACTGAGATGGCAGCCGTGACCTTTAAAACTTTCATATAAGTATTTGTATATCCCGGACTGACCAAAAGGTCATCGGTACGCGCATCACGTACTTGTCTGACGCGCGTTGTTTGCCGTGTGCTGACTGAGATGCAGAGAAACACATGCGAGGTCTTGTCAGTGCGGATTGCTTGTACTGCAGAGTCGACGTAAGTTGGGACTACGTTTAACTTGAGGTACAGATATTCGCGGAGAAATGTAGTTGTTTCAATCCAGAGGGGTTGTAACAAGGTTATCATATATTTATATTGCTATGTGTATCGTTGCTGGCACGAGAAGTCACGCCGCCGAAATTCTGGGTTCATGGTTACCTCCTTTAGTCGTACAAGGATCCGGGATTCGGATGGAAGATTCGTTACAGGCTATCGCCTAGCATAGGCGTCACTTCCGGGATTTTACAAACGTAATGAGAGGCCGTTATATATAATAAACCATTCTTAATCCCACAACCACACGTTTAGCGCGCTCGCTGATCAGGTTGATGCAAGTCACCGTGTCCCAACTGCTTAGATCAATGCTCATAATATCAGTCACTGGGTTATCTGGGCCAGACTTGATTATTTATAAACCAACTTCATACAGCATGGATATTTCCGAGTGCTAAACAATAAAACATCAAAGAAACAAAATCATATTAAAACACTATCACACACACTTTGGTGAGGTAGCCCAGTGGTCAAAGTGGGTTAAATGCCCTGGGCCTAGATTTTCGAAGCTCTCTTAGCGCTAAGATAGTCGTAAGTGCCATACTTTAACATTAACTTACGACTATCTTAGCGCTAAGAGAGCTTCGAAAATCTAGTTCCCAACTGGATTCTATGTACACACATATTTCTAGTGATATTACTGAGGAACATTGCTGAACAACACTCAGCCGTCCATCACATGTTATGTGAGTATACATACTTGCTCAGGCCTCTCGAATTCGATACAGTGAGTGAGTGAGTTTAGTTTTACGCCGCACTCAGCAATATTCCAGCTATTTGGCGGCAGTCTGTAAATAATCGAGTCTGGACCAGACAATCCAATGATCAACAGCATGAGCATCGATCTACGCAAGTGGGTACCGATGACATGTGTCAACCAAGTCAGCGAGCCTGACCACTCGATCCCGTTAGTCGCCTCTTACGACAAGCATGGGTAACTGAAGATAGATATTCTAACCCGGACCTTCACGGGTATGAATTCGATACAGATAAAAGTACATGTATATTTAGGTTTACGGGACAATATGTTCAAAATAAGTAAAATAAAACCCTAAATAGATCGGTATTTACGTACGTATAAAATCTGTTGACCAAAAACCCGTAAGACATTCCTCTTATCCTTAAAGCAACATTCTGTATGAAAGTGGGATTTACAAATGAGTAAATACATTAGTTACAGAATGTTCTGTCAAATGTGTCGGCTAAACATTACATTCCAGGAGAAAGCGTATTTCGGATTCTGTGGAACTGCAAAAAAGACAACGCCCTTTTCCCAGGGATGTTGGAGCTGTGAGTGAGTGAGTGAGTTTAGTTTTAGACGACTTTTAGCAATGTTTCAGCAATATCACGACGGGGGACACCTGAAATGGGCTTCACACATTTTACCCATGTGGGGAATCGAACACGGGTCTTCGGCATGACGAGCTAACGCTTTAACTACTAGGCTACCTAGCTACCGCCCCTATGTTGGAGTTGCGGTATGTAGAGGTAGGTGCCCACGTTTCAGTTCTGGCAGAGACTCTTCGTCTATAAGTTTTGTTCTGATGATAGGTCTCTCTTAAACAATCTTGGGAGGTGGGGTGGCCTTGTGGTTAAAGCGTTGGCTCGTCACACTGAAGACCCGGGTTCGATTCCTCACATGGATACTATGTGTGAAGCCCATTTCTGGTGTCCCCCGCCGTGATGTAACCAAACTTACTCACTCACTCTTAAACAATCTGTAGGTTAGGAGCTGATATGCATCCGGAATCTTTTGGTCTTTCTCCAGTTCTGTAAACCATGCTTCTTCGACCAGTCTACACACCAACATTATGTCGTTGCCAGTGCCAGGCATGTGGGCTACATCATGAACCCTCATTTAGTTTCCTATTTTAGTAACTGTATAAAACGGACTGTTTTCGTGTTTTACCCATGTCATAGAGTCTTTTCACACCCGCTGACCTTGACGAGCCGTCTATTGCTTGTTTTGCTTGGCGCGATGTTGATCCCATCTCAACACGTAATGTACAGATGGTTGTATTTCTCTGGACAACGAGAAAGTCTGCATGCTCACTTCTGCACGTTGTTGATCTCTCTGTGGCACATAAACCCATATTGGCATACAAGGGAATAAGTTTCACGGTGGTTACATGAGTGAGTGAGTTTTGGTTTATCCCGCTTTTAGCAATATTCCAGCAATATCACGGCGGGGGATACCAGAAATGGGCTACACACATTGAACCCATGTGGGGAATCGAACCCGGGTCTTCGGCGTGACGAGCGAACGCTTTAGTCACTAGGCTACCCCACCGCCCCCTATCACAATAATAATTGCAATGTTAAGTTACACAAACATTGCTGTATGTGATAAATGTGTGTGAATATCAATATCTTCATATGTACACTTAAACACCGTTGTGTCGAATATGAAGGAACTACTTCGAGGTATCCGAGGTTCGTCAGTATCATGCAAGGACCAAGCTATATTTTGAGACAACTGTACGTTGGACACATATCCAAGTTCCACACATCTCCAAGTTCGGCGGATCTCCAAATTCGACACATCGGTTTTTGACTGTACTTCCTGTACCCAAAATAATTTATTTCATTATGCGTCGAAGGTGCACGAAATGTCTCCAGATTGAAATAATCATCAGACATGTAGCATTCTAAGTAACACCACCCGGCAGGATTCCTATCCTCAGTGCTACCTATATATAACAGTCACTTTACACGCCAACGTGTCGCCGTAACGAACGTATACCGGTATATATGTAGTATATACGTTGGTCGATGACCTTGAACTCCGTTATGTAGTACATCCAGCGGATACCTTGACCGACAAGGTCAGGAAGACATTGGATCAAGTCATCAACCATATAAGGGTAACGCTATTTTCAGGACGGCAGTTGAAAAGACCGAGGGCTTCTGCAAATGATAATGCCCTGAAAACAGCGTTACCGTTATTATAGCTAAAATGGATAAAAACAACGGCATAGGTTTTGAAGCATTTATTGCTAACAACAGAACGACGGAGGTCACTGACATACTTTATACAAATATGGAAACGTCATAGAACAAAACAGGTGACGTCACTGTTGAGAGTGACGACATTCGACCTTGACCTTTGCCCATACTTCCAGCCGCCATTGTTTTCAGTGCTCAACAACGTTGATGTTTTCATTGCTGTATGTTGTAATTTATGGTACAATTGTTATGGTTGACACCGGCAAGAAAGTGCATAAAGGCACAGGTACTTGTGACGAATATGAGTCAGAAATTTCGTCAATAATGAACCCAAGTTCAAACAAGCCGTAGGTGATTGAACATTAAGCTGGGCCCCGTCTCGCATATCGCAATATACCTAGCTTTGGCGAACGTTAGCGCGAGCAAACGGAGCCGGGAACCAGCTTAATTGAACATCAACAGCTGAGCTACTTATGACGTCACCTAACAACGGGCTTGATAATGACCCGTCGTCAAGCATTTTGTGGGCATTATCAAGTTGTATAGGTAAAATACATGGAATTGACATGAAACGGCCCTCCCATTATCAGAAATTTGCGGGCCGCTGCAAATGATATTGGACCGCTCAACCTTAACGTCAAGTGACGTCATAGTGGGTGCGTGGGCTAACGGTTCATTCGACATTAATTGGCTTTCGACTGGCAGATATTCTGGGTCAAACAAGTCAAAGCAACCCGAATTCCCGGTTTAAATAGCGGTAATATTGGCTTTCTTGTTGGTGCTAACCTTAACAATTGCACTATTAAGGCTGTTGAT